ATATATATATATATATATATATATATATATATATAAAGCAAGTACCTGGTTCAGAAAAGGCACAGTGAAGCTTATTCCAAACTTGGTTGGGATTATGCACAGTCCTCTCTTTTTCCAACAATTCTCCCTGGAGATAAAGGAACATTCTTAAAGAGTTTCTACTATGTATTTTTAATAGTTTGGACATATTTTCAGTCAATATCTTTGTATCAAATCAGAATAGGACATTCCTGAATCTCAGGATCCCAGGCTGCCCTGGCACGTGTTATCCCATGGTGATAACTGTGTAGTTATCACCATAACTGAGTTGGGCCCCGATAGTGCAGTCAAAATGAAGGAAGGGTAGCTGCAGCAGAGCTCACTATCATTCTGTCTCCCTGGGTGGAACCTGCATTGGGTCAGTGTGCCCTAGTGATCTTGGACTGTCTTTGTCCCAGGGAGAAAGATAACAATGCCTTCTCTGTGCAATTATCCCCACTTTACCAATATTGAGACTGAGGCCCACTCCAGAGAGACAGAATGATTTCCAGGGTCAAGTGTATAAATTAGCATCAGAGACAGGCACAAAGCTACAGTGTCCTTAGTCCTGGGCCAGGGCTGTCAATAATGTGTACACATCCTTGCTCAAATGATAGGCCACAGTAGATGGACCATGACGCCGACTGCAGGCTTGAGCCTTCCACCTGGAGGCTGAGGATCTTTACACGATCTTAAAGGGGTAGCTACCAATGAGTGGGCAACTTCCACAGCCTCACAGGTTGTCCATTAAATGACCAGCTTCATATTTAGGGTTTGGCAGGAAACCCAAGGGAGACGGGACTCCCTATTCCTGGTAGCTTACTTGTTGAACTTGTCGACTTCACGCTTCCGAGCGTGATACTGAGAGCTTGCTAGACATTCATCCCAACACCTGGGCAGGGTGAACCCCTCAAGCTTCTGGTTGAAGTGTGTCAGGTCCCCTTCTTTGTACAGGTTTTTCCTCCGCACCTTCCCAAGGAGAGAGACACCGAGACCTTGTGGGTGGCTAGATGCTGGGGTGGGAGTGGGGCAGCCTAAAGTTAAGCTTCCAGGCCCCTCAGCAGCACCTACCCATCCTCTGCCCTCAGGGGAGGTGCCCAAGACACAAAATCACTCTTCCCCGCAGGCGGACTCAGCCATTCTGACTTATGCCACCAAGTTCCCAGCTTACTTCCTCCGCTGGCAGCCCACAGGTCACTGCGACTTCACTCATCCACTGCTCGGCAATGAACATCCCCTGGGGACCCCCAAAGCCCCGGAAGGCCGTGTTGGAGGGCAGGTTGGTCTTGCACACCCGCCCAGTGCCCCGGATGTTGGGGATCTTATAGCAGTTGTCCATGTGGAATAGAGCTCGTTCCATTATCTGAAGCCAAGGAAACCAAAGTAGGAGAGAACAGAGCAAGATATTCATTGGCTCCTCAAACAGCAACTGTGAGGGCTGCAGACATGCCTGCCTTTCCAGCCCCGCCATCACCTGCTCTTCTCCAGAACCAGGCCTTTGAACAGCCTCCTTACCGCACCTTATCCACCTGTGCAGACCCTGGGCCCTTCTCAGACCTCTAGATGGAACCCATCCATCATCTTCCTATTTATTTTTTAAAAGCCGATTTTCACTACATTCATTGCAAATTGGTTTTTATTTCCACTCAAGTTGTACTGCAAACAGCTTAAGAGTCAAATGCCTGTATGGGTCACGTTGTGACAAAGAGCAGCCCCCTCCACTTTCCTTCCTTCCTCTCCCCAGCAGGGACCACTTCTGATTCTCCTCGCCTGTTCTTTGGTACCTATTTGGATTAACTCCTACATCGCTAAATAGCTTTTCTATTGCTACTTCTCGGCCTGTCCACTTTTAGACTTTCATATTACCTTCCCCCTATAGAGAGGGAGGGTTTAGTTCCTGCCTGATGCCTTTTCCCTACATATATAACAGTTTCCTGTCCCCCAATAGAGTTGTATTTTGTTCTGATCAATAGTCAGTTGGACATAACTCTGCAAATATTAAAGCTGAACCATGTACTTAAACTAGGATTACCTCCGCCTTTCTTGATATCACTTTTCACCCTGAAGTTAATAATTGACATATTTTTCCATGTGCTTCATTTTCCATTCACCTACTAGTTGGCCAACTTAAAAGTTTTCTCCAGTTCTAAAAATATGTTCTCAATATGTTCACATTAAAATTTCTATCAGTTGCCTCTTTTTAAATAAATCATTCCTGAAACTGTCTGACCTCCAATTGAAATTGGCTGCCAACAAGCTTCTGCTCAGCTGTGGCCTTCAGAGTTTCCCTCGGTCTCTCAGGGATTCCTTTCTCCCAGATTTTGAATCTTCTGTTTGTACATCCCATGCCTTCCCCACCCCGTATTTTTTGGTTTTACACCTTTGTTTTGTTGGAGTGTATTCTTCAATATCTTCTCCAGAAAGGGTGCACAAAGAAGGACCTTTTCAACACCTTTCATGTCTGAAATGCCTTCACTATACACCTATCCTTAGCTGGTTTACAATTCTAGGTTGGACATGGGTTTTCCAGTTTCTTTCTGCATTTTGAAGCCTGGTAGTGTTTTCTAGCTCCCTCATATTGAAAAGTCCAATCAAGACTTTCTAATTCTTGGAAAGTGTTCTGGTTTGACCTTCCTGAAAATTATAGCATCCCTCTGTCTCCAGGTTTCTAATTTTCACAATGATCTGACTTGACATAAGCCTATTTCCCTTTATTGCACTGGTTTTTGGATGGTCTTTTTGAATCTCAAAATGTATGTCTGTTGGTTTTGGAAGGCATTTCTTGAATTATTTATTGTAACTTCCTCTTCTGTCTTCTTTTATTCTTTATTTCTATCATTTGGACCTCCTGGACTGGTCCTTGAATTTTCCTGTATTTTTCCCATATTGTTTTCTGTTTGGGGGAGAGTCATCAAGTTTCTTTCAACCCCTTTTATAGTTTTAATTCACAAGAGCACATTTTTATTCTTGGACTCTTCCAGTTTTACAGCATCCTGTTCTCTCTTTCAGGTGTAATGCCTAACTTCTCTGACAAGATAAATGATAGCTTTTATTGTTTTTGTTGGTTTCATTTTGGCTCTAGTTTACCTCCCCAGGTGGAGTCTCTCTTTCCCACAGTTGTTTTATGTGTCTTCAATCATTTCAGTCCTTAGTCATCCTAGAGGATTTTTTTCTGTGTTCCAATTAAGTGCATTTCTGCTTTCCCTTAGAACATTGTTGACTTGTACTTTCTATTGCTTTTTAAAATCTATTTCCCCTGCCATTGGTGAACTCCTTAAGGGCAGAAACCATGTCATGTGTTTCTTGATGTTACCACCCTGGATACTCAAGAAATATTCACCAGAGTGAATTAAAAATCTTGTAAGATTTTCGAGGACAAGTACTGTGAGTGCCGATTTTCACTACAACACCAAAAAGCATGTGTTGTACATGATGAAAACACTATAAATATTTCCTTTTTTGAACAATTTTAGCACTAGATCTGAAGTATGAATTCCCCTAATGGAGCCAATTAGATGGCCCCTAGCAGAGAGGGGTGGGATCCCAAGGGTGTAATGAGAAAATTCTGCTTTTCCTGAAAAGCATTACATTTTTAAAGAATTTATATATATGTAACTCATGGTTATAAAACTAAGAATTAATAAGCTTTGAAAAGTAGTACCATAGAGGTAAATTTGTTAATTCTCACAAATTATTGTATTTCATCCAAGGACTCTAGTTATCTTCTAAACAGCTCAACATTCCAAGTTCATCTGCCAAAGCTGTGATCACGATAATGAGGAGTGCAAACTCCCACTTCTCATGTTTCCCTACTGTATATTCTGTGATCAAAGGAGCCTCAACTGAGACGAAATATGAAAGCACCTAATAATTGTATTTGACCTTACTCAATGTTTTCTATTCTGGGAGAAACCTAGCATGAATGTGCAGTATGGGGACTTCTACTCCCATCAAGCGACACTAAAACTCATAAATATACATATATATACATATATATATATATATGTATGTATGTATATATGTATGTATTTCATATATATTATAAATATATAAATATTATAATATTATATGTATACACACACACACACACACACCAGCAACACAAGAAACTCTGAAGGAAGGAAAAATGGTCAACCCACAAGGGACCTCAGGACATGAGGCATGACAGGATGATGAGTCCCAGGTGGATTCCTTTTGCCTCATAAATCTTAAACTTGGAGCAAGAGCAGACAATCCACAAATACCAATGATTACAGAGTCCAAAGAGGCACACCGTATTCCCTAAACCCTGTTCCTTCCAGCCAAAACACCAGGAAAGGAGGAACCCAACAAAACTGAAAACTTTTAGACAATAGCTACTCTGCTCCAGCCAAATAACAGAAAAATAATCTGTGGCCCCACTCCTACTCACACCTGTAAAACCTCTGTGCATCCATGAGGCTGCACCAGGTACCCCTGCAGTCTTGCCAGGGAAGGGTCAGAGGTCAGGTAGGAAGCTGAGACTCTTGTCTTTGATGGTCGGTGATAAGGCCCCACCCACACCCCTGGAGTCACTAGAGAACACACAAGAAGCTTGGACTTCCACACCTGCAGCCACTCTTCCTTCATTCCCCGCTGGGTGGAGTCAGAGGAGACCTAATGAGGAGTCAAGCCTTTAATCATAGCACAGCGATAAGGTGAACACCAGGATGCCAGGCAGAACATGAGAGATTGAGATCTTCCACCCCTGCCCATCAGGAAGAAGGAGTTGCCCCACGCCCAGGTGTCAAAAAAAGCCAGTGGAAAATGAAGACTTGTACCCCTACCTAACAGTAATTAGGTGGCGCCTACCCACTCTGCTCCCATGCTAACGCAGTATCAGAAAAAGCCAAATAAAATAGAAGATTAAATAATGTCTAACATTTTAGGACTCATCATCATCATTTCATCATCTACCAATGAACCCAATATTAATAAACAACAGAGCTAAAAAATATGTCAAGTAAAAACCAGAACTGAAAGAAGAAATGAAAAAAATCCACAATTAACAATTGGATATTTCAATGGCACTCTCAAATTTGATAGGAAAACTAGAAAATCAGAAAAGATATAAAATAACTCAATACCACCATCAACCAACAGGATCTAATGGACATTTATAGGAACCTCTACCTATGGTGGGAAAAAGAAATTCCTCTCCAAAGACATATTCATTTCCTAATCGTGGGAACCGTGACTACTACCTAATGTGGTGAAAGATGGGATCAAGTCAAGGATGCTGAGAGAAGTGGGGGGACCTTGAACATAATCTCATGCATTGCTAGAGAGAGGGCAGAGGAGAATGAGAACAGGCACACAGAGGAGGTGCTGTGGGGACAGACAGCGGTAGAAGTGATGCCACCTCAAGCAAGGGACCCAGGAAAGGAATCCCCGCTGGCACTCCCAGAAGGAGTGCGGTCCTGCCAACACCTTGATTTTGGACTTCTGGCCTTCAAAACTGTGAAAAAAATAAATTTCTACTATATGCATTGTTAAATTACACTAAACTTTGCTGGAAGATGAGTCCTTATATAAAGAACTGCCACCTAACTTAGTTCAGAAACTAACTGGAAATCTAACATAGCGATTTACTTTTGTAACAAATAACTGCATCTTAGTCAAACACAGTAGCCAAGTTTCAGTTACTCACAGGCAGCCAACAGATCAAATCATGTTCAGATGAGGCAAACACCCAGCTGTAAACAATCAAGCTGTTTTGGGATCTCACTCCTATTTTCTGTCCATAGATGCCACCTGCCCACACTGAAGCAGAGCTCTCTGAACACTTCTGGTTCTAAGGGCTACCTGATACACAATCCATTCTTTGTTTAATTAAACTAATTTAATTTGTTTAAAGTTCTTATTTTAATTATGCACAGATATATGCAAATTAATATACCCACACACGCGCGCACACACACACACACACACACACAATGGCCACACCCCATAAAGTTCTGTAACAAGCTTTGCTGGCTTTGATGGATGCTAGAAGGACAGATGGGGTACTAGCCAGAGATTAATCAAGGATGAGAACCTGGAGGTAGGGACCAGTTAGGAGGTTGTTGCAATAATAACAGACAAGAAGCTAGGAGGCTTGGGCCTATGTGTGTCGTTAGGCTGTGGGGCATCTCTTGACCTCCCAGTCACCCGCTGGATGCAGGAGCAGATCCTACTTACACTCCGAGAGAGATCCTCGGTGTTCCCCGCATTGCTGAAGTGATCTACCACCAGAGCCACGACCTTTCCAGTCTTCATGAAGCCAACCTGAAAAAAAGGAGAGTGATTCTCATCAGGGCCCTTCCTAACTCTGTTTCTGATTATCCCCCTCCCACTTGTGTGACCTGGAGGAAAAAGGACAAATAATAGAAGGTGACCTTGAGCAATCACCAGATTGCAGCAGATGGAGAAGAACTTGACCTCTCCAGCCATTTTGGCCCACACTCCACTCCTACCTGCCCCCAGCTCCTGAGAAAAGGAGTAAGGAGGTAGAGAAAAGAAAGCTGGTCATGAGAGGGCAGGACAGTATCCTCTCAGCTTTTGGCGAGCAGATATTAAAAACTCCACTCTGCAAGATCCTGAATGTGCTTGCACATACTTGACCTTATTTAACCATAAAAGAGAAAATCTTTTCAGACCATTTGACAAGTATGGAAACTGAGACCCCCCAAAAGATCACATTGCTTTCTTCAGGTTCACAAGAACTTAGGAAGAAGAAATGCAATCCCTTTCTAGAAGACAAATCATGAAACCCAGTCAGAGCAGGTCAAAGGGAAGTTATTCAAGGCCAGTTTGTGGAGGGAGAGGACTTCCGGGTTACAGAGCTGAGCTGAGCCCTATCAAGTTATCTCTGTGCACAGAGAAAGGAGGCATTGGTGGGGACAGAACCAGTCATCCACAGAAAACCAGAAAAGGGACCTTCCCAGAGAGAAGTTGAGATCATTCCCAATCATGCTCTGGCAGACCAGGTGCCCACTGTAACAACCTGTGCCTGTCTAGGACTCTGGGAGGTTTTATTTCTCATGGCAGGTTGCTAAGAGGTCATTCTGATTTCTACATCAGGCGGTGAGCATGTTGCCATTAGGCGCTCTGTGTGATGGATTACCCCAGGCCACTGACAGACTCACAGAAGTCATGAATGCCACTCTGTGACATCTCTTGGGGAGTGTCCTGTGGCCTCCTCTAACACACCCTTCCATGTTGCTGATGGCTGGTTTCAGTTTCTCTGGGTGCTATTTCTTCTTGAACTTCTACAGATAGTCATGCAAAAAGTAAGAGCAAGTCCAGGGTTCCTGGACCTTTCCCTCCAGGGTCCTTACAAGATGTCACTCCCCGCCCTGACACACCCCCATCCAGAACCTTGTATCTGGCCAGGAAGGGATGTCTGCCACCAGTTATCAGCATGTCCTCATCACGGTCCAGCATGCAGCGTACAGGACGGCCTGTCCTGGAGGGAACCAAGAGGATTAGAAAGCTGTGAGCCTTCAATGGTACCCAGCCCTGTGAGTCTCAGAGATGCAAACAGCAAGGCGACCTTCCTTTCCCACCAGGCACACTGAGAAGACCCGAACTGGGCTGCTCACTGTGCAAGCACCATGCAGGACAGGACAGGGGATAATATCAGGACAAGAGGCACACCTTGCCCTCAGGGAGTTCACAGCTAGGTAGAGGAGGTAAAATTGGGACCCATGGGTCAGAACACAAAGAAATAGGCTATATTACCCTCATCCTTATGCCCAAGGGTTCTAAAAAGAAAAAAAACTGAGGGGATTCAAAACAGGGGGAAATGACTTCCAATGAGGGGAAATCCAGAAAGCCTTCCCGGCAGAGGTGACCTTATCCTCTTCCCAGAGCTGCTGGAGGAAGCAGGCTTTGGAACTTACTTGTATGCAGCCAAGGCCACTGCTGTAGACACCACAGTGCTCCGGGTCTCCTTCCCTCCAAAGCCTCCTCCCATTCTCTTCACTCGGACTACAATCCGGTTTTCTGGAACCCCCAACATTTTCGCAACAAAACTCTATGGAGGAAAAAAATTCTTTCACTGATGCCTCATCTGGACTTATTTGGGCCTGACCCTGAGCCCACCCCACAAGCGTGGACCTGACTGCTGCTGTGAACTCTGAAATTCCTAGAGTGAAACCTCTCCCCTCCTAGTTAGTGGTACAGGGTCCTACACTCAAGGTCATTGCAGACTGAACTCAGCAATCCAGACACTTGTTTTCAACCAGAGAGACAAGATCACAGCATGTTGTCAGAGCCAAAACTCTTACCAGCCAGAGGCTGGTAAGTCTGGGTAAGACTAGCTACCCAAAATGCTGGCAATTACTGTGCATTACAGGTGATAGATAATATCTGCGCTATAGCAACTAAGTTAGTGATCCCTGTGAATATCACTGGGCCCAGATCCTTCATTTTAAAGATGAGGAAATGAAGGCAAGACATGATTTGACCAGAGCTATTTAGCACCGGAATCATCAGAACTAAGAATTACCAGGCTCTGGTGCAACTGTTGAAACTCACCTAATTGATATAACAATCCTACCAGGCTCCACTTTACCAAAGAGGAAACTGAGGCAGAGAAAGCTTACATGACAAACTCAGAGATACCAGCCCTCTTGAGGACCAGCCAGATCTCCCTCTTCCCATTTCCCATACTGCCCTCCTGGTCTGCTACAGCCTCTGTCGTCATCTTTCCAGTGCCCTGAGCTGACCCACAGGTCATCCATCTACCTGTGTCTTCATGGTGTTCTGGGTAGACACAAAGAGCTCCATCTCCCCCGCCTCGCCTTTTGGGACAGCAATGGTGCAGTGAGTCTCCAGGTAAAAATGCTCCTGGCCACCGATGTACAACTCTCCTGGGGAAGCAATGACAGCCCCACTGTGAGCCCCTTGCAGCAGAGGGGCATGCATGCTTGCTTAAGGAAGCCATGCACTCTGCCAAGTGGCCCAAGCGGGAACCCCAGGCCCACAGGTAACCTCTGGTTTCCCCAAGTTTGGTGGGAAAGAGTCTCAAAGTCTTAACCATCTGGAAGTTATGTCTCTCCCTCCCACAAGGAAACTAGAAGGACACTGAAATACATCAGGCATAGAGCTCTTTTCTCAGTGCAGTCATTGAAAATCACAGATTCCTAAAAATTTGGAAAAGTTGAAGAGAGAATTAATAGATGTAATTGAAAAGCTGAAAACAAGAGCATCTTGCAGAACCGAAGCTGTCAGGCCTGCTGGAGAGTTAGTTGGCTTGCTGGTGACTTAGCAATGCCCAGGAGCCAATGTGGAAAGCAATTCCAAAAGGGGCTGATCAGCTGCCTGTCGTAGGCTAAGAGCTGAGGAGCTAACTTCACAGAATCAGAGGCAGAAGGACAGGGACAACAGGGAAGAGGGTGAGCTAGCAGAGGAGCACCTTCAGGCAGATGGAGAGGTTAGAGGACTGGCAGCTCCAAGCTGGCCACATCTGGGATATGACTTCTCTGGACAGTCTTCCGAATCAGAAAACACCACACCTACTCTCTCTAGGATACTAGGATGCTTAGCTACAGCCAGCCCAGGACAGGGGAGTGGAGGTTACTATGGGTGAGGCTCTGTCCCAACGCTGTCTACTGCTCTGTTAGAGATGTCGGAGGTGATCTTCCATTAGGAAATTTGGGGGAATCACCTTTTCCTGCTCCAGGGCTCAATGTGGATCTCTTGAATTTAATGGGCAAACCAGGGTCACCCCATGCCTACTGCATAATGTACAGCTGTACCTGAAACAACATTATCTGCTTCGGAAAACCCCTTCTTGAGGTCTCCTTTCTCGATCTTCAGCTCAGATCCATAAAAGGAGTTGTTCTTTATAGCATCCTGAGGATCAGAAAGAAGCTTCAGTGGCCTGACTCAGGGGGAGGAAGACAGCGTCTGCCTGGGGAAAGGAGGTCTCTGAACTGTGGCCTCTCTTCTCACACGTGAATCTCCACAAGTTTCATGAACAACTTAAAACAAGCTCCACTGTGGCCCAGGGAGACATGCTCCTATTTCCTCACCTATACATGGATCCTAAGGAAAAGAAAAGAAACCCAGAAAAAAAACAACTGGAGTTGAAATTTGGGGAAAGAGGAACTCCGTTTGGTTGTTAATGGACTGGGCCCAAGATGATATATGAAATTAAAGGACAAAAAAAAAACAGAGGGTAGGAAGGGATTTTAAAATACACTTATAGGTAGGTGTTCCTTGATCTGCAATGGAGTGATATCTCCATCAATCTATTATAAGTTGAAAGTATCACAATTAAAAAACACTTAATATACCTCACCTAGCAAACATCACAGCTTAGCCTCACCTACCTAAGCACCCTCAGAACACTTACGTGAGCCTATAGTCAGGCAAAACCATCTAACACAAACCCTGCTTTAAAATGAAGTGTTGAATATCTCTGGTAATTCGTTGAATATTGTAGTGAAAGTGAAAAACAATGGTAGCTGTGTATGCTTTCACACTATCGTAAAGTTGAAAAATCTGAAATCATTTAAGTAGCACCATGGTAAGAAGGGGACCTCTGGTAGCCAAATTCCCACCTGCTGCTCAAATCTCCTGTGAAGGATCCTTCTAACCACACCTGCAGGGACAGGGAGCTCACTCCTACACACAGGCAGTTACCTCAATGGTGATAATAGCCGGAAGGTCTTCATAGGTAATTTTCACCCCTTGAGCTGCCCTCTGTGCATGCTCTGGAGTGTCAGCAACCACAGCACCAATGATGTGCCCAACACAAGTTACCTAGGAGCAAGAGCAGATTGTCAAAGAACACGACTGACAGCTCTTGTGAAGCGTACTATTTACAAATTGTTCAAAAAGGCCAAGGAAGTCCCCACATTCCCAAAGAACATTTTAGGAATGTCCTGGGGCTTTTCAAGTTTCCTTATCCCAGTAACTGGGGGTATGAGCCTCTTAAAACTGGGGTTATGAGCCTCTTAAAAAGAGCTTAGAATCAGTAGAACAGAACAGAGCACAGAGAGATCACTGGTATCAGAAACAGATTTCATCTCAAGGGCCAAGTCTGAGTTTTTAGTACTGGTAGCGTATTGAGAAGCTGCACAGGGTATAGTGATTGATTATGGCTGTCTGCCATGAGCAGAATGGAGATACGGTGCCCAAGTAGGTCAAATCAGACATACTCCAGCACGCTGAGTCTTCCTATGAAGAGGTGGCGACCAGAAGGCACCATCAAGACTGGTTAGTAGTTACCAGATCATGACTAAACCTTAGGCCTTGACTCTCAGTTTTATTATCGGTCCACTTTATCATTCTCTTAATGTGCTATTTCCCAGATTTATACCAAGAGCTCCCCAAAAGCCACAATCATGTCTTATTATTTTATCTAGAAGCCCTAAAAGCAGTAGCTCACGAAAGATAAGACTTAAATTCAATGATCTATAAATAAGATATTTTTCAATTTATAGAATAACAATTGTTTTTTTTTTTTCTTTAAATTCAATTCCATAAAAACTTAATGAATCTCCTTCAGGGATAATTTTCATCAAACATTCCCCCTAAAATAAACAACAAAATACATTGTCCAACTCATCACTTTGGAATATAGGGTTTCTAACAATATGAACCAATACTTAGCATGCAAGTCTCTGATAATTCTCTCTTAAGGACCCAGTTATGAACTTGGTTAACGCAGTGATAGTGTATCTGCTGACCCCCACTAACCAAAAGGCTAGCAGTACTCCTGGAGGCTCTTGGAGCTTGTAAAACAATATGTTCTTCTAAGGAATCCTTACAGATTCCGGGTTTCATATTTGTAGATTTTTTTGTTCTTTCCTTTACCTTTACACCAATAATAAGGTGAGTTTAACTTTCAGCGATACCTACCCACATCAGATGGGCAACGTTTGATCTGTGTTAGAACTATGAGATGACCCTCTGAGAACTATCCTATAGTAAAGTATAAGAACTTTTGTAGCAACTGTCTTAAAGGTTTGGAAACTATGTTGCTGTAGAATTCCATATAGTTGAAATCAATAGGTGAATTTTCATATATGTGAGCTATCAATCCACAAAGTGATGGTATTATTATTTCTTTTCTGGTTAGTTCATTTAATGTTTTCTTATTTTTCTTTTAATAAAAGAGTTTAATGTCATACATTAGGAACCCAATATTTTATAATCACCAGCCTTGCTTTACTGTCATGTAGGCCCAGAGTTACCCTGCTATGTGCAAACAGCAGCCATCAATTAAATGTTGACATTTTAAATAATAACATTTTCTATCCCATCATGAGTTGTACTGAATAACGTTAACCAGAGCGATGGTCATGGTAAGTGCAAATGTATAATCTTCAAGATGAGGGCAAATTGGAGCCATGAGCATGAATTAAAACTTCAATACTTATTCTATTTATTTCATACAAAATAAAACCCAAGCATACCTCACTTTCCGCAAAGACTGTTTCATCATTAAAAAGTCCAGTTGTGTTACTCCCAGGAATATCGGCAGCTGAGAGGAAGCAAACAAACCCTGGCACCTTCTTAGCTGCTGAAGTGTCTATGGACCTGCAAGAACGAGCCACGGGAGGAGCCAGGTGGGCAAACTGAAGCAGGAGATCCATCCCCTGGTCTGGATAACTGGCCTTGTTTTAATGAGCTTTCATTCCCCCCAGGCTTTCTCAATCTGGCCCCTGCCTGCCTCTGGGACATCAGCCCTGTGAGCAGACCCTCCTCAGGAGTCACAGGGCCCTCACTCCTCCTGCTGCGCTCTGGATGGTGATTTTGAGATGATTTTCCATCCTCATCTCAAGGCTGGGAAGCGCTGGAAGACGCTTGATAAGGTTATCTTTGTGTGGGAAGCCTCTCAGGTGCTCCCAGCACCCTTCCCCTGGAGCGCCATGGGCTCCCCACGGCAGCTGCACTCACTTGATCTTGGCATGGGCCCTGGTGCTGGTGACCAGCCGGAGAGACAGCTCGTTCTCATAGCGGGGGATGTCATCGCAGTACACTGCCTCCCCGGAGGCCTGCATGTTGGCAGCAAGGTGGGGCATGGGACGGCCCACCATGTCCTCCTCAGATTGACCTTTGGGAACCTCCTGGAAAATCATGATCACCAGTCAGGCTGAGGACACGTTTCTCTAGAGGTCCATGGACACTGGGGAGTCCTTGAGGCCAGATACCAAAGCAAACCCAGAGGGTTGGAATGAATGAGGTAGAAAGGCTTTAGGGGTGAAAGTAACAGTGAGGCACCTAGGAAGTCACTGATAAGGGTGCTCATAGTGTAAGTATATCAAGGAACCCCTCCCCCCAAAAAAGGAGGAAACTAAATGTCCATCAATTGAGAACTGGGTTACGCTATAGCATACAATGAAATAGTATGCAGCCATCAAAACATATTTCTGAAGAATTTTTATTAAAAAGAAAGAATGCACATGCTAATTGTAAAAATAAGACATGAAACATTCTCTCTGTAATGATTCTAATCATGTAGGGAAAATAATATATGCTATAAATATCACATATGCATGTTCATATATGAATGGGGAAAAAGAACTAAACAAATACAATGAATCTCTCTTGGGTGATTTTTATTTTTGTCTTTATATTTTCCTGTATTTTCCAAAATATCTTAAGATATATTAATTTTATAATAAAGTTCTGTTTTTGTTTTTTCAAAGTAATAATAATGGCTAATATTTTTGAGTGTTTTTACTATATACCAGGAACCATCTAAGCAATTTTACTTTTATTAACACATTTAATGCTTGGCCATCCTATGAACCAGGGACCATTATTAAGGAGCACTGGGTGTTCTGGGTCAGGTGGCTGGAGACGAAGCTGAGGTGGTTGTTGCAATAAAGACTGTCTGACTCACAAAATCTAAACTGTTTATAGAAAACGTTTGCTAATCTCTTGCTCAGTTACTCTCAAAAACTTGTAGCTGATCGAATGGTTTGAGCGTATGTGTGTATGCACATCCACTCAGGAAGACATCTGGAGTTAGTCTAGACTTAGTCCTACATAGAAAAGATAAATGGAAAAAAAAACCTGTTTTTTCTTTAAGGCACAGGTGCAGACTAATCCTAAGAAAGAAATTTAGGCCAACAAAGGGGAAACAGCTCCATCCAGTATGATTCCCCCTTCTTACACTGGACATGTAGGCACGAGAGTGGGGAGCTTTTCACATCTATGTATGATTCAAGCTGGGCACTGGTCAATGGTCAGTCATCGGCCATCAGGGGTGGCCTGAGCTGGCCTTCATATCAGAACACACATGTGTACTCACTTGGAAGAGCTGGACGTTGGCTGGAGGGTCTTTGTGGAAGAGCAGAGTGGCACTGGTGAAGGTGGGGTCCAGCAGGCCACAGTTCTGTGGAGGCGAGACAACAGAGGTGGCCATGACAGCGTTGCATCATTGATCCCTTTCTTGGTGTCCCCAAGTGATAGAGGTGATGAGGGTTCCCCTCAGCCCGTCAGGTTATACCCTCTGAGTACTGGAGGGGTCTACCTCATCCAGACATGGGCTCTGAGCACTCAGAATTTAACAACCACCTCAGCTCCATCTCCAGCCACCTGACCCAGCGCACCCAGCGCTCCTTGATTCCTCCCACACTCCAGACTTCCCCTTCTGCATTACATGTGCTGCTCTCTCTGTCGGGAATTCTTCCTCCCCAGCCTTCCCAGAAAAGTCTCCCTTCCCCCTCTATTCCGTGGGAAGTACTGAATGACATGGAGGATATTCAGAATACTAAGGTAAGGCGGGTATAAAAGTCTTCATGTGGTGTGATTCCTAATCTGTTTAGAAAATGACATCTCCAGATCAAAAGATCGCAAGATGGTAGATGTGTTTATAGATGATGAAAGGACAGATGGAAACAATGACAGACAGGGCAAACAGCATGTAGGGAAAAGGTTAGAGAAGTGTAGGGAAAAATCAAAACTTAAGCAGTGACTTTCTCTGGGACCTAAGAATAGGGGGTAACTTTAGTTTTCCTTTATAATCTGTATTTTTAAAGCTTTCCAAAATAAATCTTTAATTTTTAAAAAATGGAAGTATTTCTAATGTTTTACAGAGGGATTTGGCTCAACTGTCCACCTCTCTGTAGCGTCTTCTCTCTTCTGTGCTCCCTCCACACCCCACCCTTCTTAGTTGTCACACCAGCTGGCCTTTGCTGACTTGTTCTGTCCCACACTAGGCTGCCCCTCGTCCCAGGAGTAGCATGGTATGTGATAGGCATTAAACAAATGCTCCTGATAAAAGAATCTTGGGAGGAGGGCTCCACCTCAGCCTGCCAGTAGCCTGGAGGCACATCCTGTGTTCCACGTCCCCCATCCTCGTTCCATTCTCCCCTTCTGCTCCCTTCCTACATGCACAGCCACAGTTGTGTCTGCTCTGCTTCTGGAAGGGCCATCTGGTCCACTGGCCCCTATTGCATATTCCACAGCTGGAAGGAAGAGAGGGGCGTGGCTATTCGAGTTCCCCAGTGAGCTCATGACACTGGCAGGACAAGAGCCTGTCAGTGTCCCTGACCCAGCCAGCTGGTTGGCTCATGTCTGTGGACCCTGCGTCTCTGGTTCCTGCTCCTGCTCTCAGACATTCAGAGTGAAGAAACAGGTTTAACCCCTGACCAGCCTCCAAACACGCCTGCTGCCGAGAATCTGCACCTCACCCACCTCAGGGTTCTCTTTGCCCAGCTTCTGAAGCACCGTCAGGTAGAACTTGAAGAAGAAGCTGAGGCTGAGGGTGCGCCGGAACTCCACCATGCCGCCAGGGGCATCCGGGGCCAGGTGCAGCTCCTCAGCCAGGCCTGCACACACATCCTGCAGCAGCTCCTCATTCCAGAACCTGCCAGAGAGCAGATGTGGGGAGTGCGCCTCACCCCCGCCCCAGTCATGCCATGTGGAGGGCAGCACCCAAAGCCTCCTGGCCATGCAAACCTCTGTTCAAAACCTGGCTCAGATACTCAGAGCTGTGTGAGTTGAGGCAAGTCGCTTAACCAGTTACTTCACCTCCTGGGCCTCTGTTTCCTCACCTTTAAAAGTAGATATACTCTAAAAATCACAAAATAATAATAGTTATGTCTTCTGAGTTTTTATAACATGCTAAGCATTGCCCTAGGAGCTTTTTATGAATCATCACTTTTAATTTAATTAAAAACTACAGTAGGGAAAAAGTCTCACACCCATGTTACCACTGAGAAGACTGAGGCATGGAGAAACTGTGTAACTTGATTTATGTTACTTTCCTGGTCAATATTGGAACCAAGATGCCAAATTTCAAGTTAAGCTTTATCGTGTGTGGGTTTTGTAAGGATTATGTAGGATAATGCCAGTGAAGAACTTGGTACAATTGCTGCTTATGACAGTCATGGGAATAGTGGAAGCAGGATTAATAATAGAAGTAGTAACGGCAGCCAGAGTAACAGTGGCTGTGGCGTTAGCAGTAATGGTAGCAGCATCGACGCTACCAGTAGGAATACTAGCAATGGCAGCAGTAGCAATAGCAGTGGTGGTAATAGTAGCAACAGTAATGATAGCAGAAGTAGTAACAGTAGTATGGGAGAAGCAATTTTCTTAGCAGAAAACAGCTGCAGAAACCCTACTATTTATGTACAATTAGTGGTAGCAATAGTGATTTACACTACTAGTCACAATAGCACAGTGGCAGCAGTAATATTAGGAGCAGTAGCAGCAAAGCTAGAAGGTAGCAATAGTAGTAGGAGCAGCATAAAATTCTACTAGTAGCAATAGGAATAGCAGCAGTACACATAGCAATAGTAATGGTGGTGGTAGCAATAGCAGTAGTAATAATAGCAGCAGTAGTAATGCTATTAGTGTAAATACTACAAGCAACAGTCATAATAAGAGTATCAATAATCGTAACAGTAGTAGAAGAGGCAGCAATAGTAGTAACAATAATAATAGCAGGAATAGCCATAGTAGGAATACTAGTTATAATAATTATATTGGTAAGAATAACAGCAGTGATAGTAGCAGCAGTGATGATAGTGATGTAAGTCGTAAGAGTAACAGCAGCATTAGTCCTAGTAAGCAGTACCGTGACCACGGTAGCAGAAGCAGCAGCACTAGGAACAACAGTGATAGCTGCAATATAGAAGCACTAACAGTAATAACAGAATTAACAGTAGCAGCAGTAGTAACCACATGATAGTAGTACAGCAGCAGTAATACTAACTAGAGTCACATGTCACTTAATAACAGGGAAATATTCTGAAGAGTGTGTTAGGCTATTTCTTTCTTTTTAAAGAGAGAGAGAGAGAGAGAGAGAGAGAGAGAATTTTAATATGTATTTTTTAGTTTTCGGCGGACACAACATCTTTGTTTGTATGTGGTGCTGAGGATAGAACCCAGGCCACGTGCATGCCAGGTGAGCGCGCTACCACTTGAGCCACATCCCCAGCCCTAGGCTATTTCTTTATGCACTTACACAAACCCCTATGTGTATAGCCTACTGCCCAAGTTATGTGGTAGAACCTATTGCTCCTAGACTACAAACCTGTACAGCATGTTACTGTACTGAAACCATAGGCAATTGTAACACAATGATTGGTATTTGTATGTCTACATGTATCTAAATGTGGAAAGATACAATAAAAATACTAGGTACTAGGAATTTTTCAACTCCATTGTAATTTTGTAGGACCACTGTCATATGCGTGGCCCATCACTGCTCAAAACATCAACATACTGTGCATGATTGTGCTAGTAGTAACACTAGTAGCTCTAGTAATATCAGTAGCAACAGCAGCCGTAGCAATAGCCGGAGCAGCAATAATAAAAGTGGTAGTGGCAATAGTAATACTCCAGTAGCCAGAATAATGGCGGCTACAGCAGATTCACTGGTGCTAGCTCTTACTTGGACAGCTGCTTTGCAGTGGTCTTGATGGCTGAGATAGTTCTGTCGGCCATTCCTCCATAGCAAAGGGCCAGCTCCTTCACCTCTGTGGTCCCTGGCTTGAATAGGACTCTCATGCCACTGGTCACCTTGGCAATGTCATCTTCTCGTCGGGAGGCCTGCTTGAATGCTGAGAAAAACTCACCCTGAAAAAGAACCGGTAGATGCCTGTTCTCCACCTTGTTTCATAAGGACTACAAGTGGCCAGTCTAAAACAGGACTGTGAGGTGAGGGGAAGTGAGGTGATAATGCCGCCGCAGAGCCGTGGCGACCTTGTCTCGGGATCAAAGACAAGACATAAGTACCACACTATGGGAGGAGTTCCAGGTCACATTCCCAGAAGCTGGAAAGAGTCAGGACTTCTCCCCGTTGGTCATGAATGCTGGGGGTCAGGAATGCTGAGGGTCAGGGACACAAATCCTAGCTGGGAGAAGTAGGCTCCCGAGACCCACCCTGGGGCCCAGGGTCAGGGCCCACCCAACCTCTCTGAAGATTCATGAAGCCTCAGTCAGCACCTGGCTGCCTCTCAAACAGGGACAGGGAGATGGCACAGGTAATCTGAAGCCATCTCACTTGTGGGTACGCCCTTCCTTGTCCCTCCCACTATTCTAATGTCAACTGAGAAATCTCATTTTCTGCAAGAAAGTGACCCACTAGGAAACAATGCTGCCCCTGTGCTCTGAACCTGTTCTTCCCCTGGGTCTGAGCCAGGGTCTGTCTTGGGGGAGAGGAGGACAGTGGAAGTCATTTTCCAGGGAATAACCATCTGACTTCAGTTCTTCCGTGCCAGGTGCTGAGGTTTGTACCCCACTGATTGCACATTCTGATTAACACCAATGGGAGGTTAAGGAAAGATCCACCCAAAGCATAATGAAGCCCACTGCTGAGGCCCCCAAGGGGCACAGATTTCAATTCTCTGGAGCTGTGGAGCCCCTCCTGAGACTAAGCTCATATTCCTGGTCACCGAACCCAGCATTTGGACTTGGTCTGGAGCAGAGGTTCCAGATGTTCACTCTCAGGGTCATTCAGGGACATTTTCACTTGAGTGCCACAAGTGCTCAGCATCAGGTTAACAGCATCCTTTGTTGAGAAATTTAATTCTGGGTATTAAAATCTCCTTTCTTTTACAAAATGGTATTTTCCATTAATGACCATACCTGGCAAAATAAAATCTGAGTAGTGCTAAGCCTGTTTCCTTCCCCTTCCTTGACTCATAATTTAAAAAAAAAAAATAGTGATCTGTAAAATTCAAAATTTCTGGGATTTTGGGAAAATCTCAAATTCTGGGAATCACTGCTCAGAATGTTCTGCAAAGACAAGCTAGAAAATCCTTAAGAATCCAGTTCAGGGCTATCATTGCTGTAATTGGATTCACATTCTCATTAAGGAGGTCAAAGTTAGCAAAGGCAAACATCCCTCACACACTTGCTGGAGCAGGAGCTGCCGTAGACCCTTCACCCTCCTCGCCCACTGCTTTCCCCGCCTCTCCAGACCATTTTTCCAAGAGGCCCATTGTGGGATGTGTCCTGAGTCAGTGGCTGCTAAGAAAGGAGAGAAGCACCCAGATCAAGCCACTCCAGGCCCTAAGAGCAAAGCACGCAGAGGTGCCTAGATCTCCCCGAATGGGCGAGAAAAGCTGTTCACAAAAAAGAAATCCAGCAGTGCCAGCCCAGAGCAAGGTCAGGGTCAGCACAAGTGGGTCTGATTTAGACATCTTCTGCACTCCACATGCAAGCCCTACACTCTTCACCATGAGAAAACTGTGCCCTTGACATGGGACAGGAACACTCAACTGCTGAATTTACTCTTGGGACTATGCTGGTAACCTCCATGGCTTCCAGACACCTGCCAGGAACAATCTTATGAAATATTTCAGCCCCCACAAGACCATGCATGTACATAACATTTGTGCCTACTTTACAGGTGGGAACATTGGGGCTCAGAAAGGTAAGATGACTCACTCAGGATCGTATGTCTAGCTGAGTGACTTTATGCCCATGCCCTGTGTACCCCTGCCCTGCAATGTCCCATTGTCCTGAGAGGAATAGGGTTGGTTCATCAGAGAGAAAAACACCAGTATCAAGGTCAAGGGATGCTAAAGTTGGTCCCGAGGCGGGCTCTTGTCTCCAGGTCTGAGCTCAGCAGCATGGGTAATTTGGGCAGAGCCTGGACCCCTGCCTCTCACCTCCCTGCTGTAGGGGATCTCAATGGAAAGCAATATCTCCTCTGGACTTAGCAGGGTCTTTCTGTAGCCAGGGAAGAAGGTGTGGTCCATCCGAACAGTTCTCCTGGTGCCTGATAGAGACAGGAAGAAGAGGGCCAACGTGAGGGAGAGGCTGGGGGTTGCATAGGGGGCAGAGGACAGCCCACCAGTGAAATCCATTTTCTCTCTGCTCTCTGACACCCAGTCAGAACACAACCGAGGCCAAGTCCTCCACCTGGAGTCCTAAAGCAGCGGTGTGCTGGGGGGTGTCAGGGGAATCCCTGATTCTTAGCATTTGTCAATCTGTAGTGTAAATGCTCTCTCTATCGCCAAGTGACCATGTTACATCACTGAATGTGAGGTTGGGACAAGTGCAGCAAAGAGTTAACAGAGCAGCCCGGGCTGCTGTCCCTTGTGAGGAGGTAGGCTTACAACAACGGCCCTTGGCTGGCATCTGGGAGCATGGATTTTGGAAGGGTTTGCACCATTCTGCTATAAGAATGGCTCACTATGCCTCTGCCATTGACACAACCTATACAGTCTATACCCGCTCTTCTGCCAGGAGTCCAGACTTCTGGTACATGCCTGTGTGACCAGTCACTAGCCCCCAAGAAAACCCTGGGTGCTCAGTCTCCAGCAAGCTTCCTTGGTGGATGATGCTTCATGTGTGTTGTCATAAGTCATTGCTTGGGGAATTAAGCATGTCCTTTGACCCCTGTGGGGCATCCTGAGGCTTGTGCCTGGGGTCCTCTGGACTTTGACCCATGCACCTTTCCCCTTTGCTGACTGGGCTTTGTGTCCTTCCATTGCCATAAACCTGAGGAAGACTCCGAGCTGGATCCTCCTAGCACATCACCAGGCCCAGGGTGGTCTCAGGGACCTTCCAACAAGACAAAGATGCTCAGGAGAGCACCACGGCAGAACACTTCCACAGCACAGATATAGTGGACGTAAACAACCTCAAAAGCATGGCATAATAGTCAAATGAAGTCTAATAGGAATTCACGGATTTTGAGTATTTACCACCTTTGTTTTGAAAATAATTTATTTTATTTCTATGCTTATGTAATTTAATTTTAAATAATGGCCATGTTTAACAAATGGCTTGCAGATTCCTCATAATGGAACAATCAGCTGTGGGAAGCTGGTGCATTCTGGCCCCAGAGCACCCTGGGGAAAGGTTGGCAGGAAGCTGACCCAGTTGTGAGTTCTCTACAAAGAAAAGACACAGCTCTCCCAGCCTCCAACCCAGATGCATTGCCTGCAGCTTCCATGAATCCAAACCATAGGACAGCCGGGGCACTGAACTCTGGGCTCTGTTTCTCCATAAAATGTCCTGTCTGGTGTGAGTTTCCTCCCCCAAGTCCCTCTTTCTGGACCTCTGCTCCAGGTAGCTCACCTCGGGATACCAGGGTCAGTTTGGCGCCGCTGGCCATCAACACAGGATTAAGGTCAGAGATGGGGCTGGCGGTGATAATGTTCCCTCCAATGGACTAGGACAAGCAAAGAGAGTGAGTGACAGCCCACCCCAGGACCCCAAAGCAGAGGGTAGGCAGGGGACACAGTCTACAGGGAGCACTAAGGACCTGCATCCCAGGTGGACGAGAGCAACCCAGTAACCTGGGCCCTCAGAAAAACGTGCTTGACTTGAAATCAGAACCCTTGGAGTTGGGTCCCAGTTCTGAAATTTAAGAGTCAGTAAATGGAGACAAGGCCTTTTAAATTGTTTGACATCACTCAACCTTTTCCTGAAAGGACTGAGGTGGTTTATCACAGAGACCACCGGGAGCTAGTAAAATGAAATAGAAGATAAGGATCAAGGAAAAAGAGGAGGAAGACTTTAAGTGCTATATGCGGATCTGAACTTCCTGGCAACTTGGCAAAAAAAAAAAAAGGAAGAAAAATCAGATAGAGGCTTCTCATTACTGGAAAAGAGGAGGAAGTGTACAGTGGAAACAAAGTCCTTCCTAGAAGCAGATTTAGCAGAACTTGGGGGCACAGTGGAGCTTTCTGAGCTTGAACCTCCTCATTTGCAATCAGAAGTGGCAGGTGCTCAGGCAGGTTTGGGGAACAGAAGTGGGATGTTCTGTTCTTAAAAAAATAAAATTTAAACATGGAGTAGAAAGGATGCCTGCTTCAGAGGGCCACTCTGAAGCCTGATTGAACAGTCAACAGGTGCACCCTACCCTCCTCCAGGGGGACTCCATCTGGTTCTCCCCACACTCTAAAATGGAACCCCCTGCCCAGTTTTGCCTTCTCTCTAATACAGTTCTCATTCACCTACTGAGAGCCCCAGCCAAGTTCAAGAAGAGGGAGGCCAGAAGCTGTACCTCTGTAACCTCAGAGGTGAGGACTATTTCTCGATGTGGCCCACAGACCACCTTCAGCAGAAGTATCCAGGAGACTTGGGCTGCATCCTAGATTCACTGAATCAGAAGCTGTGAGTGTGGGGACCCGGGTCTGCATCCTGGGAAATGCTAACCACTAAAAGTTGGGTCCACTGGGCTGGAGCAGGGGGGAATCTGTAGCTGGGGCCAACCTGCCTTCGGCAGAGAGGCCCGCACCCATGGGCCTTGCTTGCCTCTGAGCGACGACTCACCGCCACAGACTTGACCTGCTTCCCTGCAAACCAGCGCAGTTGCTCCAGGAATCCTTTGAACACCTCAGTTTTCTGGGCAGGAAGCTTGGCAACTGCGTCTACCAGGATCTTTTCCACAGAGCTCAGGGGGCACGCAGCCCCAAAGGAGATGCCTAGACCACACACTCAGAATCACAGTCACACCCTCTACAGTGAGGACACGTCCCACGCAGCTCCTCAGAGACCCAAGCAAAGCTGAACCATGACCTACATCTTTACGTAGACGAGGAGAGTAGGGCTCAGAGAGGTTCAGCTGCTCACCAAATGCCCAGGCCTCGGGACTCTGTAACCTATTCTCTTTCCTCTAAGCCAGCAGTTCTCCAATAACATCAGCATATGCAGAGGTAAAGTCCTAACATTGTTTTTTTAAAAAGCACCCAAGCACTACCACCCCTACTTCTCCACTTCCCCCCACCCATGAATGACTCTAATGTGTGGGCAGGACTGAGGAAAATCAATGAAATCTCATAGACTCTTGCTTGCTGGCACCTGACCATGGAAACCTGGGGGAGGAAAGGCCAGGAGGGGTGCCCCCTTCTCTAGTCACCCCTCTTCCCTGTGCAAACTGGGCTCCAGGGAAAGCAGGTGGCAGCCAAAGGCCAAGGGCAGGCTGTCCTGGCACCCACCTCCCCCTTGGGGTCCATCCCCAGCATCACTGTGCCACCATGGGCTCAGGGTGAACCCCTTACCCTCTGGTCCATGTGTCACCGTATTCAGCTCAGGGATCCAGGCCGGGCAGACAATAAGAGGAAAGAGCATGTTCTTAAACTTCATCTCAATGCCTGGAGAGAGAAGCCTTTATAGACCTCAGCCGCCCCTCCCACTGTGCACAGCTTTATGACATATTCCCAATTGCCACGTGCTGGGGACGGTGCAGGGCTGGGTTAGGAAACACAGTGGGCAAGGCATGGGATTAGGGAAGACTATGTCTTTCTCTCCCTTACAAAAAAAAAAAAAATCTATCCATATTCAAATGAAATGAACTTAAATTCACTGTACTGTGTGTATGCATGTGTGTTTGTGCTGTGTGTGTAATAACAACATTAAAAAAAAAAAACCACAGGGATCTGGGTACATTGGAAATTCTTCCAAGCCCTTTCCCTGTTTTAACTAACTTAATCCTCCCAGCAGCTCTATAAGTACTGTAGGTTTCTGCTCACAGATAAGGAAACTTAGGCACAGAGAGATCAGGCTTTTACCCACATCACACAGCTAAGAACAGGCACATTTCAGTTCTCGAGCTACTGTTAGTTTAGGATATAACAATAAAAAGATAAAAGTCCAAAATTAAAGCGAAAAAGGAAAATGAGAGCAATCTTCCTTCCAGTCCTCAGAATCTGAGTTCTTCAGGGCGTGGGGCTTTATAAGCCCACAACCATGTCCAGCGTCTGTCCTCTCAGCTAAGCAAGTTAGGAGCCTCTGGGACACATGCACACCTGGGTTCCCGAGACCCAGTTGGTGCAGCACCTCTCCTGACCCCACCCGTGGGGCTACAGATGGGAAAGGTTGGAGATAAACGCCGAGCCCCCTACCCAGTACCCAAGGGTGGCCTAGCCCCATGCCTGTGCATTTCTGCATCGAGTCTGGCTTGTGTGGGTGTCCTCACCCCCAGAACACGGAATGCAGATGGAGGCCTGGGGCCCATATGGATCTGGCTTTCTCTAAGCCCACTCCCCCAACACCCTGCACTGGCTGTGGGCAGTTACCTGGGGTGTCGAGTTGATATAATGTGTGTGAATTCCTTTCTCTTGGAAGCCAGGGTTTGTCTGACTCACAGCAAGGAACATGTCCAGTGTCAGGACATCCTGGGATCCTTCTATCTACCTTCAATCAAGCCCTGGACCCTAGGCTATGACTATATGGGCAAAGGCAGTGTAGCAAAGAGAACACCAACTGTTATGAGTCCTACTAAGCCAGAGCCACACAATCACATCACAGGCATGTCTCACCAGGCACAATGTGTCACACAAGTGCAGCTGGGGACTCTGTACTGTATCTGTGCTTAAGAGGGCAGGGCCAGCTCTCTGATCTAACAGCACTGAACCAAGCCACCAGGCTCCCTTCTATGGCTGAGGATTCAACTAGAACCTAGATACTGGAGACTCCTTCAGGAACCAGAGCCAAGAGACCCCCAACCTCTGCACTTGACTACTTGAAAGCATGGTATGCCACCTCACTCCCAATCAGAGGTCCTCTGAGATAAACCTTGACTGTGCCGTGATCTTCAGCTGGGAGCCTCACTAGGTGCGGGACCTAGCAAAGTGGACGGACACCAGCCAAACCAGGCTTAGAAAAGATGGAGAGTGACAGGGCCTGGGCCTCTCTGTCATCTTGTTCTGTCTGAAAGAGCATGAGGTTTGAGACTGCACATCCTGAGCCCCCCTGGCCTTTCCAACTATTGGGGCACAGTCCCAGGCAGCACAAACACAGTGACACTCCCTCTCTTTACCACCCTTGTAGTGGTGGCCCTAGGGTTCTTTGCTCATATAGTCATGGCCCTGGGGACCAGGGGTAGCAAGACTTAAGGAGATTAGAAGGATCTCCAGAGATCCTCTGACACTGGACATGTTCCTTACCATGAGTCAGACACCCTAACTTGTGTCCTTCTCCTTTACCTTATCACATCATCCTCCAGAAAAGGGGTAGTGGGAGGCAAAAGTGTGGCATTTCTAGACACCCCTTCCCCAGCATCTAAAAAACTCTGGCTAGACTCTGGCTCCATTCAGCCCTCCTTCTTCAACTAGGAGAGCCTTGAGGGAAGGAACCATGTCCAGTTGATCTTTGTGTCCCAAGACCTTCCCTGAGACCCCGGCTTGTAGCTGGCACTCTGTAGATGTCCAGGGAGAAGAGTCAATGAGCATGCAAGGATTTCTTTTGATACTCGAAGCAGCCCTCTGAGGAGTTACCCCATAGAAGGAATGGGAAATGGTGGTGAGGGAGGCCAAGGAATTTTCCTGGGAACACACAGCCAGCCAGGGTTCAAACCAGGTCTGGGTGACTTCAGAGCCAGGGTCTCAGCAGGGGAAATCAAGTAAGTGTCCAGGGCTCTTCAGTGGTTTCCCAGGGTAGTCAGTGGGACAGAGGTGGGGTACAGAGTGGGGGGAGGTCAGGGAGGGGTGAGGGCAAGCAGGAAGGGTCCAGAACCCCTCCCAGACCCTCGGCAGTACCCAGGCCCTGGCCCTTACCAATCTCCGTGTTCCCCACCACGAGCTTGGCGTCAGGGTGCTGAGCTTTGAGTTCCAGCAGCTCCCGCAGGGTGGAGGCCTGGATCCAGGTCACACGTTCCCCTTCAAAGCGCAGCTGCTTTTGGGGAGTGTCCTTCAGCCTCTGGGAATTGTAGCACGCTTACTGAACTGTCTCCCTCCTCTTCCCATTCCCCCGAGAAATTGCTTTACTTCTGTAATGGGGCCAACTCCTCTGTTGACTTGCTTAATACCTAGTTCACCAGAAAGACCTAAGTACTGGGGAATAGGAGGGACTAGCACACACTGAGGCAGGAACTCCACTGGCACTTAGTAAACACATCTTCCCCATCTTGACTTCAATGAAGGAGGCCGTGTGAGTCTTGTTTAACAAGCAAAGGAGCAACCCAGAGAGATCAAGGAGGTTGTGGGACCTGCTGACCTTACAGAAAGCCCAGGTTCCTTGCAGTACCCCACGCTATCTCCAGGGGGCGCCGTGGGCAAGGTGCGAGAAGGAACAGAGGTGGAGAAGGAGGGAGTGTGAGAAGGGAAAGCGTAGGAGAGCTAGATCTGGTGCACAGCTGGTGACACTGGGCTGGGAAAGAAATCCCCCCCAATCAAACTGATGGTGTTTTCCAGGTTTCACAATCTGAAAGAAGTGATGTGGTAGCCTGCTGCAAATCTGTCCCCTCCAGCCTGTCAAACCCAGGAGGGAGGCTGCATAGACTCCACAATCCCAAGAAATGCATATCTGAAAAATTCAGAGTGGCCTCTTTCCCTGCCATAAATGTCAGTGGGAAAATGGGCACGACAGAGGTGTCCTGAAGACGGAACTATAAGCCATGAATCATGTCCTTCAAATATAACTTAGTTTGTTTGTTTTAAAATAAATAGTTTGCATACAGAGAGAGGAATAGGTGGCTTTGTGGGCTTACACATTAGATAAAGTCAGGAGGTCCCCAAGTCACTAGAGAGCACCTGCTACTAATGCAAGTGTGCTAGAGAGATCCACTTCCTGCCCTCATGGGGCTTATAATCTAGCAAGGAACATTAGACATCACATTAGCAACTGTAAGTGTGACTTGTGTGAGGAGCTGTGGAGTGTGGCCCCATAGAGGTGTCAGAAAAAGGAAGGGAGCCCAGTGTGGTGGCTCATGCCTGTAATCCAGCTACTCTGGAGGCTGAGGCAAGAGGGTAGCAAGTTTGAGGCCAGTCATAGAAACTTAGCAAGACCCTGTCTAAAAATAAAAAGGGCTGGTGACATAGAGAACCCCTGGGTTCAATCCCCAGTATGGAAGGAAGGAAGGAAGGAAGGAAGGAAGGAAGGAAGGAAGGAAGGGAGGGAGGGAGGAAGGAAGGGAGGAAGGAGGGAGGGAGGGAGGAAAAAGGAAGGGAAATTTGAACTGACACCTAAATGACAGGGAAGGTGCAAGGTTCTTAGTGGATATAAAAATAAAGCAGGTCTCAGGGTCTCACAGCACAGACACGGCTGGACTGCTCCCTGCGGCATCACCTACCAGCAACTCTGGAGGGAAGATGGGCTCCTGGGTGGGATCCAGGGGCATGAACTCTTCTGGTTTGAATAAAGATGGGGAGAGAGTGACCTACAGGAAGAGAGAACACGTAAGGAACTTCAGTTCTTCCTTTCAGGATTAATCCAGCCCTTCCTCCTGGTGAGCTGGTTCCCAGCCCCTGGTAGAGGGGCAGGCAGCTCCTGGGAAGCAGAAGAAAGGAGGTCTTGCCAGACGACCCCAGGGCTAATGAGCACCTTCACCACTCTCTTCACCTGGCCATCCCCAAATCTTGCCATAGTTCCCTCTTCCAGCCACCGCAGCCAGGGGTGTGGAGAGAGCTCAGTGACTCCTCTGAGTCTGAGTTACCCCCAGGCTCCAGGCAGAGAAGACTCACTTACTGTGTGGTCTTTCTTCTGGTTCATGCAGCAGTTTGGGTTGTCTCCACTTCCCCCACAGCATCCTCCATCCTAGACAGATGACATTCACACATAGACATTTATAGAGATTTCACAGAATCTGAGGAATCCTGATGATTAATATCTACTGAACTCCAGCTCTGGTACCTATTCCAGCACCAACAGGAAGGGGAAACCCCCACCCCATCCCACATGCCTGCATGCAGAGTCAAGGCTCCGCTCTCTTATCTTTGCTTTGCTGATGTGTGTTACAGAACACATGAATGAACACTTAGGAGTGACAGGGAAATGGTCTCCATCAAAACTAGATCCTGTTTTATCAAAAGGTATTTTTCTCATAGGTCCTCTCAGGACCTAAGAGGCTCCACTTTCAGGTTCTACATCTATGGGGCTTGGCTGGGTGTCTCTCAGGCTGGGCATTCTGTGGGACTCTGCCAAGGATGTCCAAGACCAGTGCTGATCCGAGAGATGTGTCCATCCAGTGTGTCCAATGTCCTCCTCCCTACCTACTAGGTACTTCTTCCCAGAAAGCTGAACACTCTTCACTCCTCATTGTGGGCCTGTTCTGGAGGAAGGGTCCAGGGGGAACCACTCATCACCCATGTGAAGGATCTGCTCAGGGCCTCTCGATGCCAATGGCAGAACACTAACAGAGAACAGAATCACTGTTCCCATAACTGAGGTCTTGCAGAGCCAGGAAAGGATGTGTTCATCAGGCCCATCTGCCCTAATAAGGCAGGAGTTGCAACTCTGGGCTTCAGAGGACATTTCAGAATTGTGGGGCTGTGCTGAGACACTAAAGTGAGGAAAATTTCCAGGCACTTTTCTTGGGTAGTCAATTCCTGAAGGAGCAGGCTGGGAACAGTCCCTTCTGCATGTGAGTCACAGGAGACACCATTCCAGGCTGTCATTTCTCAAAGGGTGTGTCATGATTCACCATCTTTCCTAACACGGCTCTCAGAAGACCATGGAGGCTGAAGGTGTGGACATGCAAACACGGGCAGACAATGGCAGCAGAGAGGAACCTTCCCTGGTCCGACCCCCTGCCCATGGGGCCTGAGACATAGAGCCTCCCACATTCATAGCTTTGCTCTGTCCATTCTGGAACTCTCTACAGCCCCTTCGCCCTTCCCCTCTGAATTTAGATAGGAAAGGAAGAAGGAAGACAGGGTCCCTCACGCCTCTTTTCATCTTCTTGGCAAAAGAGTGATGCAGGGGAGTTCTCAGGCCCACGAAAGTGAGAGGAACTTGCATGTGGTGAAGCATCAGCCTTGCTCGCCTGGCCTTCCTGAGGGAGGAGACGTTCCACCCAGGTCCATTTTCCAGATCATTAAGGTGCCAGCACAATCGCACTTAGAACTTTTTCCTTGATAAATTAATTGGTATGTTTATGACACACATTATTGTGATGTTCAATAACAGGTCACTGCCCTCCAGGTCTTCTGAGGTTGGATAAGGCTGATTTCTCCTGCCTCTGCCCTTCTGAGATTCACAGTTTATGAACTAAGACTGCTAGGCTTGTGCTTTTTTTTTTTTTTTTTTTTAATAAACTAGTTTTTTCTAAGATCGATTCTAGGTTCAGAGTAAAACTGAGCAGAAAGTACAAACAATTCCCAAATACCCTTTCTCCCTCTTCCCTGCCCTGGCTACACACATACAACCTCCTCTGCTCTCAGCATGTGCACCAGAGTGGTACATTTATCACAATGGATGAAGCTACCTGGACAGGTCATCAACACTCAAAGTCCATGGTTTACCTGGACAATGTGTGGACTTTGACAGATGTATGATGATGTGTATCCACTATTACAGTATCATACAGAAGGGCCTCACACTGCCCTAAAATCCTCTGTGCTCTGTCTGTTCGTCCCTCCTGCCTCTGCTCTAGCAATGACTAATCTTTCCGCTGCCCTCATAGTTTTGTCTTTTCATAGTTTCACGTAGTTGATATCATACAACATGTAACTTTTTCAGATTGGCTCCTGTTAGTTAGCAATATGCATTGTAAGATTCCTCCGTGTCTTTTCATGGCTTGGTGCTGAACAATATTCCTTGTCTAAATGGGCCACAACTTCTTTATCCATTCACCTGCAGAAGGACATCTCGGCCATTTCTAAATTTTCACAATTATAAGTAAATATGCAGCAGACATTTCTCAAAAGAAGAACTATCCATGGCCAACAAAGAGATGAAAGAATGTCCTACAACTTTAGCAATCAGGAAAATTCCCTCTCACTCTGTCATTTAATTCTCCTATTTTTTTCCTGACACCTTTCCTTAAAGTCTTCTTTGTCCAAAATTTACATAGTTACTCCCACTTTCCTCTCATTGGTGTTAGCATGGTATATCATTTTACATCCATTTACTTTTGACCTAGATCTGTCTTTATAACTTGGGTTGCATGTAGACAACATATATTTGGGTTTTATTTTTTTTATCCACTCTGAAAATATCTGTCTTTTCATTGTTATATTTAGACCATTAACATTGAAGGTGATTATTGATACAGCTAGAGTGGTATCTGCCATATTTGTTACTGTTTTCTATTTGCTTCCCATATTCTTTGTTCCTACTTTTGTCTTTCACACATTCTCTGATGTGGTTTTAACAGAGCATTGTATATTTTCCATTTTTCTCTTCTTTCTTAGCATATCCATTGTATTTCTCTTACTTTTTTTGAGTTTGTAAAAGACATTTATAACAAATCCCAGTTTACTCTCAAATAACAATATACCATTTCACGGATAGTATGAAGACCTTATAACAAGATATTCTCCCTCCCTCTTTCTCTTTTTACCATTGCTGTCATCATGTATATACATATATAAATGCACTATTAGTCAAATACATGTTGCAATTCTTGTTTTGAACAATCTGTTATCTGTTAGATTAATGAAGAATTGAAAGGTTTTCATTTCACCTTCACATATTCATTCTCCAGTGCTCTTCATTTCTTCGTGTAGATTTAAGTTTATGACTTTTGTCATTTTTCTTCTCTCTGAAAATTCCCCACTCCCCCCACCTTCTTCTCCCATCACCCCCGTTCCCCATATTGCTAGGGATCAAGTCCATGTCCTGGTTCTCTACAGAATCTCTTCTTGTGTTTCTTGAAAGGCAGGTCTAGTGACAACAATGTCCCTCAATTTTGTTTATCTGAGGAAGTCTATTTCTCCTTCACCTTTGAAAAACAGTTTCTAATTTGGTGGGAGCGTTTCCCTTTTCAGTACTTTAAATGTTTTACTCCATTCTCCTCTTGCTTGCATGGTTTCTGAGAAATCAGATATAATTCTTACCTTTGCTCCTGTATAAGTGAGAGTGTTTTCCTCTAGATTCTTTGAAGAGTTTTTTCCTTTATCTTTCATTCTATGAAGTTTGAATATAACATGCCTGGATTAGTTGTTTGTTTGTTTTTTAATTTGGGGATTTATTGTTTTGCTCCAATTGGCTTTGGGTTTTTGTTTTGACATTTATCTGGCTTGGTGTTCTCTGAACTTCCTGGCTTCAATTATTTTAGTCTGATTAATTTTAGGAAATTCTCATTCCTCTATTGCTTCAGATATTGCTTCTGTGCCCTTCTCTCTTTCTTTTCCTTCCGGTGTTCCCACTACATATATATTTTGCTTTTGTAGTTGTCCGCAGTTCTTGAGTTTAATATTTTTTACACTCTTTTTTCTCTCCACCTTTTGGGTTGGAAGTTTGCATTGCCACATCATCAGCTCAGAAATTCTTTCCTCAGATATGTCCAGTTTACTAATGAGCCTACCAAAGGCTTCTTCATTTTATCATACTGTTTTTTATCTCTAGCGTCTTAAAATACTTCTCTTTTAGAATTTCCTTCTCTCTGCACACATCATCCATCTGTTCTTGCATGCTGCCTATTTTTTTCCCATTAAAATCTTTAGCATATTAATCAGCCTTTAAAAATTCCCTGTTTGATAACTTCAACATCTCCACCCTGTGGAGCCTGGTTCTGCTGTTTCATCTCTTCAAGTTGTGTTTGCCTTTGAGTATGCTTGGAATTTTTTTGTGTGTGGGTTGTTGAAAATAAGTCATCTGTGATGGATAAAAGGATCTGCTGTGAACAGACCTTTAGTAATATACTGGTAAGTGTGAAGGATCCTATTGTCCTAACTCTAGGTCTCTGTCTTTTGGTGAGTCTGTGTACCTGAACTGTGAGTGTCACAAGTGTCTCAGGTAGATTTTTCCTCTCCACAGTGAGTCAGGGTGGCTGAAACTTCTCTTCTTCCAAGTAGGAGGAAGAGAAATTTGCACTCATAAAAGTGTGAGGACTCCCCATGCCTGGGTCCCCTAGAGTTTGTATCTCTGAGGCTTGTCCACATTAAGGTTCCAGCAATTCATCAATTACTGCTCAAGTTTCCCTGTTGCAGTACTCGTTCATAAAGAGGCTTCTGCTCACGTGTTTATGGCCAAGTATGCTGTGATTCTCTGTATCCACCTGTCTGCCTCCAACTTGAGAAACAAGAGTTCATCCTATAACCTTGTTTTTCTGATAAATCTAAGAAGACTTGTTGATTTCTCAGTTTGTTCAGCTTCTTACTTATTGTTAGGATGGAATGAAGATGTCAAAACTCCTTACGTATATATCAGAAGCCAGAAGTCTTGCGTGTGCCTATTTTAATGGTTTTTCCATTTCCTTCCTTGTGGCCAGATGGACATTGTCATTCTTGCTGTGAACAGTGTGCTCAGCTTTTCTAGTGTGTACTAGATTCAGGAAAACTAAGGAAATCAAGTTTGTTAGAATTCTGTGTAAAATAAAGGTAAATTGTCTCTGAATAAAGCCTGGGGGCCTCCGGTGAGTATTATGAGGACACGTCCTCTCACCTTCTGCATGTCAGGCATTTGGCAGCTCAGCCTTGTTCTGAGCTAACCTGCAGGACAGCTGGGTGGAGGGGGTTGCTGCTGCATAACACAATATCACTTCAATGATAATAAAACTCAGACCTCAAGCAGTAGTGCAACTGTCTGCTATACTCAAATGCCCTTCTCTTATGAGGCACTGTGAGGACTGTGGTTAGTTTGCATGTCTTTGAGCAGGTGCCTAGGTAAACAGATAGGCAAGATTGACAATCACTGTTCTCAGGGAAGCCTGAGCAATTAACGGAGATCATTCATACGGTGGGTGAAGAAGAAATGTGTCAACATCATAATTCACAGCTCCATTTATGGACAACTTAAGATGTACCAGGCATTGTTCTAAAAGCTTTGAAGGAACTACTTATTCTTTACAAACACTATCAGGTTGGTATTATTATTATTCCCATTTTTGAAACAAGGAAACTTGCCCAGGGTCATTCATCATGATAAAAGACTTGAACCCAGGTCATCAGACTCGGAATATGTACTTTGAATGATTTTCATTTAATTGTACACCTCCTACTACTTCATCAACTGCATTCTCCAGGGCCTGGTGTTGTCTGTCCTTGTGAAGACCCACCTCTACCTCCCCCTACCCTTTCTTGGATAAGGTAGGCACAACTCTCCTTCTCAAGACGTAACAGTTCTAAAGGTCAGTGCAAAGCACAGGTGTCTGTAACTGTCTCCTGAACCCAGAATCAAATTGAGATGACAAGGTTTGATGGGAGACAGGAGCAACTTGACCTAGTTGAGAAATCAGGTAAAAGCTGAGGGGACTAAGCCAGGGAAAGCGAAGCCAGCGCTCCATGCCAGATGGCAGGTACATGCCATTGGTTACATAATCAATGCCCACATACCCGGCTGTGGAGTGAGATGAACACTGCAGGGGTTCACAAACTGTCTGGAGATCTAATTATCAGCTTCATAAGACCAGCCGAGTGCCAACCTCAGAAGCAGCCAGGAGAGAGAAGGAGGAGGGGCACAAGCACTGAGCCAGGCTGGGCTGTTGTTAGATGCCATGTTTAGCGCCCATGAGCCTGCCAGTCTCTAGGAAAAGCTGCCAAGCCTGAAAGCACTGCAGGAAGCCAGCACTCAGGCAGGATGCCTCTTCTAGAAAGCAGAGCTCCAGGCCTGCACTGGGAGGAAAGCCCCAGGCTATGGAGAAGAACAGCAGAATCCACTCCCCACAGCACCTGTCCCCGGCAGAAGGACCCGCTCACTAGATATCTCACCTTTCCTCTCAGAGACCATATCCCTTGGCATCCCTCCCAGCTGTGATCCCTGAGGGTTGCTGCTTTAAGAGCAGGACGCCTGCTGCTCTGGGGCCCCACTTACCCGGGCGAAGGTCCGGAAACCCTGGAGGATGGGCCTGTAGCCTGTGCAGCGGCACAGGTTCCCTGTGGGCCAAGAGAAAAGCTGCAGCGTTGGTGCTGGCCTTGGGCAGGGGAGGGCTTGAGGCCTTGCCCCAGCCCAGTTGGATGCTCCATTTACAGCTTTGCCTTTGTTGTCCTGTCTCCTCTGTCTGGAAGGTCCCTGTTCCTCTTCATGTCTCTAACCTCAAAACTTCCATCATGACTCCCCCTCCAGGAAGATTTCAGAATAAGTCAGGGGCCCCTGCTGGTGCTCCAGGGTGTCTGGTCAGACCTTATCAGTGAGCTTATCAAACTACATTATAAATTCACTTCCTCTTCAGAGTATGAATTCCTTGAGAGGAGTAACTACATCTTTCCTCTTGTGCCTGTACAGCACAGGACTCAAAATACTTAATTGGAGAAATAATAGATTGAAATGTAGGGAACAGGTAGGGAAACTTCTCTGTTCACTTCAGAGGAACAGACACATGGGACAGGCTCCTGGGCCCACTCACAGGAGGCAAACTGGGAAGCCAACCCTTGCCTGTGGCTGAGTCCTGCCTGGCTACCTTCCTCCTATATGGTCTGTGCCCTGAAGAATCCTGAGTTGGTGGAATTTGATAAGAGGAAGCCATATCACTGGACTCTGTGCAGTATACCAAGTGGTCTCCCATGCCAGCTGCCCAGTGCCAAGGCCACCTCAAAGCTGGAGAAGGGCAAGAATAAATTATAGGAAGCAGGGGACCCCATGAGGTCTATAAGCCAACCAAGTGTTCTCCAAAGCAGGAGAAACTAACTTCATAGCAGATCTTAGCCATTGCTCTGGGGTGGCCTGTGCCTTTCCTCCAAAAGGTGTTCTGACACTCCAAGCCTCTTCCTGGCTGTCACCCTGACCCTATCCTGACCACCCCCCGCAGGGTCCCATCTGCCACTCCACCTCCTTGGCTGTGCCTGAAGGCCCATACCTTGGAAGGCATTCTCAATCTCCTCCATGGTGGGCTCTGGCTCATTTCGAAGCAGCGTGTACATGCTCATGACGATGCCAGGGGTGCAGAACCCGCACTGGGAGCCATGGCTTTTTGCAATTCTCTCCTGAAAGGGACAAATGAAACAGATGCCTGTGTTGGCAAGACCCCCTCCCCATTCCCTGAAGGACTCCCCTGAAGCCAGCTCCTCCTGAGAGACAGTGGGGGTAATGATCAGGTCAAGCCCCTCCTTAGAAGTAAGGTCCTGTAGACCAGCCATGGGCACCTGGTCTATAGGAGGAGGACAGTCCTAATCTTTACTTCTAAGGATTTAATGAGATAATTCATGTAAACCCTTGACCTGTGCCTGGCATATGGGAGGCAGGTAGTGTTACAATGAGCAAGCCACCCCTTTTAAAGAGCAATGAATATTCTGGAAAGTAGGCCCAGGAAATATAAGAACTTAACATGCTGTGAATGGAAGAGTTGTGTTGTATTCCTCTGATTACACTACCCTGCAGTCCAGCTCAACTGACCTTCCTGGAGGGCCAACAGGGCACCTCTTATTCCAAACTAGAGTCCCATTGCATTCCTGTATTCTTAAGTGGAGGCAACACTGAAAGTCCGGTGGAAGCCAGAGAATTGGAAAAATATGTCAAACTGAATTGACTCTATGCATCGAACGTCACAGGATTCCCATGCAAAGCAGGAAGATTTTTACTGTAAGGAGATTTTCCTCATTCACGTGGCTTTCTTTTTTGTTTTTCTTCTGCTTTTTGGTCTCTTGGGAGTCTCTCTTGTGTTACATAAAATTGCCAGAATATTATAACCTTAGTATCCTGTATATATATTAATTGATTTTATGAATATTGACTGAGAATCTCTCATGCACCCGGCACAGTAAAGGCACTGGGAACAGAACAGTGAAGAGGAGAGACAAGGAGAGATCTCCAAAGCCCACATTCTCACAAGGAAAACACTGACAAAGAAGGAATCCCAGGTGGAGATTTTGTGCACAGAGAGTTTTTACAGAATGACATGCATGATCCATTGTGATGGTGGCTGAACACAGTGGTCAGAAAAAGCCAATTTGAAAGGGAGCCCTTACCCTGAATTAAGTAACACTATTTGAATCATAGAAGAGCATATTCTAGGGAGAGAGAACCTCAGTGAGAAGGCCCCGGGCCCAGAACAAGCTTAACATGCTAGATTTGCTGGAAGGCCACGGGTGGAACTTGCTGTGACTGGAGAAGTTGGCTCACAGCAGCTCTTCCCACGCCAGGGTTGGGATTGGGAACTTCATCAGGGTGTGATGGGAAGCCTGTGGGGATTTTCAGCAGGAAGTGTGTGATCGAAGACTGAGGGTTTCCTGATCATACTGGGGAATTTAAGGAATCACCCTGGCTCCTAGGTGGAGGATGGGTTGCAGAGGGCAGGAATGGAAATAGGCATCAGGATAGCGTAGCCGACCAGATAAAAGGGGATGGTGGCTGGGCCCAAGTAGCAATAACAACAACTGAAAGAATGAAGATGTCATTAGAGGTTTGGGTGGTAGAGTGGACCCCACTTGTGGATGGATTGGATGTGGTCTTTGAGAGAAAGAACCAAAGGCAACTCCTAGATTTTTATCCTGAGCAACTGGGCAGAGGAAGACTGTGAAGGAAGAAGTTAGGGGGGGGAATGAGGTTTTGATAAGCTTGAGGTTAGACATCCATGTTGAGTAGGCAGCCGGAAGTGAGTCTAACCTGAGGGAAGGTCGGAGCTGAAGGCGTGGGTGTGCATGCCCTTTGCAGGTAGAGAGATCCAAACTCCCCGAGAGAGACACGGAGAAGGGAAAGGCTCAAGGGCACATCCTGGACCCCACAGCAGGAGAGACAGAGCAGAGGAGGAGCCAGCACAGGATGCTGACATAGAGGAGGGAGGAAAAGCAGGGGCGTAGTGCCTCAAAACCAAGAGAAACACATGAATGGACAAGAAGTGAAATCCAGCTGTTGCTCAGTTGGTGCCAAAATAAGTGCATCAGGAATAAGGTCTGACTGCAAAGGGAGGGGTTTAAACTGATCATACAGATAAGATCCCAGTGTTTATTCATTCTTTTTTTTTTTCATGTTTGTTTCAAAGAAATGACAAGCCCTAATTACCCTTCTCACACCTCCTGCAGGTTGGACAAGTTGAGTAATTTCCCCATTTCCTGTCTAAGGAATACAATGATAGAGGCAAAGCAACACCACCCCACCCTGCCCTGCCCTAGGGACAGGCCCAGCTCACTCATCATCCATGATGTCATGAAAGGTGTCAGGGAAGGCAAGGTCTCCTAAGGGCACATCTCCTCAACTGGTCACGGGGGTGATTAAGGCCTGGGCTTAACTTTGGAACCTTTAGTGATTGCAAAATCCCAAAGTGCCCCTTCCTCAGTTTCCCCAAACAAAACAATGGCCTTTCCTTCCCACAGTGCTCTGCTCCCATGTGTTTCCACTTGGCCTGAGAATATCCTGACCCTCTCCAGAAACCCCTCAGATAATTGCCCACTCTCTCCAAAGATGTTCCCAATTCTAATTCATTTTCAAGTGGTCTGATTCTACCTGAAAGCAGATAGAAAGCCTTAGCCAGGTACTCATCCATCACTATTATCTTATTTAGCTCTTGATAACCTCTATCCTAGTGAAAGTGGAGGCTTGAAAGCACATTTGTATTTCCTATTATCGAGAAATAAAGGTGCCACTAGAATTACCACTCCAAGGAACGGAGAGTAGATCAGCCTTTAATCAAGGGACACAGAGAATTTGGAACCTGGGAAGACTGAGGGTTTCCTTAGCTTACTGGGGAACAAGATGAGAAAGCACCCTGCCCCTCCTCCTTCCATTCTGGTGCAGCTGGACCACCCTGATCACCAGATTCAGTTGATCTCTTGGATCCCTTGGGGTCATGCAAAGTTAGCTCCACTCTGGCCACAGGAGGGAGTTTTGGGCTTGGAAGCCTTCTCTTTCCATCTCACAGCACCCAGAAGAAGAGAAAGTGACCTTTGTTCAGGTTGTGAAACTCTACCTGACAACCCCAAACCAGTCTGCAGCTTGGCCTGAGCCTTCCTGCAAAACGCCCTGACCCCAAGAGCACAGCTCCTTCCCTCTGCTTACCTGCACAGGATGCAGCCGAGTCTTGGTGCTTCCTATTCCCTCCACGGTAGTCACGGCAACATGATGCAAGGAGCAGATGGGGGCCAGGCAGGCATTGGCAGAAAAATGGCTAGAACCCCAGATTAAGGTCACTCCATTGTCCACTCAGGTCATCAGAGCAGTGTGGGGCCTGGGGGACTCCTCGTGGGGAAAGAGAGGGAAACGGGAAACACCAGCCCCTTGAATAGAGCTTCCCCTAGAGTTTCTTCGCCTGCCTTCCTTAGCCATCACTGGTTCTCCTGTACGTACAATCAACATCAGTGACTGAGTGCCATTTGTATGCTAGCACTCAGCTGAGAGCTGGGGAATGACGGTGAATGAGATGAAATCTCCAGCCTTCAAAGCTTGCAGTCAACCCAGGAAAATAGAAGTGGGTGTAAAGATGCAATTTAAAAACTTCAGGAGGGCTGTGCATGGGGCACTTTGAAATCCACACAGACAAGAGGCACTTAGGCACTTAGCCCTGTCTTGAGAAGTCAAGGAAGGCTGCCTGGAGGGGGTGATTTGGGGTCCACTCCTAAAGAGCTAGTACCAGTTTGCCAGGTAGAGAGGCTTGGAAAAAAGACATTGGGAAAAAGCTTTTGCCAAGATCAAGAAATGAGTGGGCCTGAGGCATCAGTAGCTCACACTGTCTTGGCCTGTAAGGAGTGCTGGCACACAATGAGAAGGGAAACTGGAGAGGAGAGCTAGGGCACCATGGAGGAGCCTGGACTCCAACAGGGGCCATGGAGAGCTACCAAAGGAGCGCATGAGACAAGCTGTGAGCCTGATTTTAGAAAGATCATTTCAACAGCCGTTCACAGAACCTGGTCAACAGTCATGAGCCAGGAAGTTACTTGCTAAGTTATCATTGTACAATGTCCCTGTCCGTGGTTAGAGCTCGCTCAGAAACACAGGCTCACATACCTGTGCACATGCATGCACACACTCGCACACTCACGGGCTGGCCCTGCATCTTAGCCCTCACAAGGACAATCAGGCAGCAGGCAAAGGATACACGATCTTGTTCTGGAAACGGTCGTACTTGGAAAGCATCACTGTGCAAGCCCCGCAGCCCCCTTCTCCACAGCCAAGCTTGGTCCCGCTCAGCCCCACTGTGTGGTCTCGAGTTAAGGAACATGAACTAGGGGAAGGAAACTGCAGGACTGCTGGGAATGCCTGGGCAGAGTCTCATGGGTCTGCTCATCCATCCCCACACAGGGCTCAGGGTCCTCCACCTGGGAGGCAGCAGAGCCAGGGCCTCCTCGCTCAGAGGAGACACTGCAGCCCAGTGGGGCAGGAAGAGAGAGCAAGACAGCAGGTTCTCATCTGACAGCATCCCCAGGGATGCCTGTAGGGCTGATAAAGTCCCAGGATCCAAAATTGGAGCTACATCAGAGGCTTTCAAATATCCAGCCATGATATGTGCAAGTAGAAATTAAAATAAAGGTTTTTTGAGACCAGAGACCAGAATCGGACCCAACGCTTACACAAACTATGAAAAGATAATCTGATACTTTACCTCACTAGTGGACGATTCTAGAGAACAGCAATTGGTGGGCACATTCTCTGCAACAGGCCTCTAACTGCCCATGCCCCCCAGCCCTCTACAGCAGATTGAGGGGACTGAGATTATTTTCACCTGTCACTTCCTTCATTTTCAAGATAAAATGAGCAACTAGCCATGATATAGATCATATACTTGGAAAGCATTTATATCCATGTGCCCAGAAGATCTTCACAAGAACCTGGTTAGCAGCTGGGGTAGTAACCATCATTTTTCTCACAGAGTAATAAACAAAATAAAAATGAACTGAGACCCAAGATGTAGCATGATCCACACAAGTGTTCCCTTGCTTGTTAGGGCCCCAAGGCTCATCTGATTTGGTGTGCACCCCCCTCCCCATGCCATCTCTCTAAGCACACCTGAGACCTGAGGAGAGCTTTCTGTGTCCTTGGTTATTTTTTTCACAAAGTAGATACAGTTATCTGCCGTTCAGACATCGGCAGGGGTGCATGAAGACAGGGAGTGAGAGCTGGAAGTCCAGCAAGGTATTCCGGCCTCTGGATCTTTCTAGAAGCCAGGGTAGAAATCAACGGTCTTCTCTCTTACTGGGAGAAGTGTCCTGCCCACACTTACAGGAGTCCTCCCACAAAGTAAACTTTAGCCCAGACAACAATAACATGTAAGGACTTTACTTGCCAACTTTTGAAGTGGCACCCCCTTTCTCCACTGAAAATACTTAACTGGGCCTCTCCAGAAACCTTCACCATGGCTGATTTTAGGACTGTCCGCAAAAGAGTCTCTGCAAAAGAGTTCAATGTAGATAAACTTCCTGTTTTTGCGTCGCCCTGTTTACTTGGCCACTGGCCGAGAAAATGTCAGCACTCCAGGTGCTAGACACCCCCTTACTAGGTTTTCACAAACATATCCACTATAATACTTTGAAGAAATGTGCAAACAAGGCCTCTGGCCTTGAGCTGGGCTTCACAGAGATGTCTACATTTTTAAGATAAGTTACAACTGGGCTCCATGGTAACAGCTGGCTGGGGGAGGAAAGAAGGGGGAGAAGAAGCTCTTCCCTTCTCAGGTGTTGTCCTTGAAGGGTTAACTTGCCCAGAACAGTGAGAGAAAAAGCTGCTTTTATGTGAACTTCTGCAGACTGTGAACTTCTGAGCCCCTCCTCTTACATGCTAGGTATAAAACTCTGAAACTCCCTGAACTCAGGGTTCAGGGGATTAATTGATTACAGCAAAAGCTGTGCCCTCTGAACCTGGCTGCAGCCAAATAAAACTGTTTCCTGCTATCTTTGGTGCCTTGCCTGGTCTGTCCCTACAGCACTTTCAGTTTGGGATTTCACTTGCACTTTGACCTTTCAAACAGCTTATTGCTATTAAGGCATTTCTGAGGTTTCTGGGCCTTCAAAACTAAAACTGAAACTAATAGAAAACTAAAACTGATCTCAACACCTGAGACCTGGGAGGTCTATTCCCAGACCTCCCAGGCAGATGGGCTGGAAACGGAACTCCATGCAGTCCCCTGATCCTATCCACTGGGTCCTCTGCTGCAAAAGAACCATGAGGTTCATCTACTATGAATCTCTGGTCACCAAACCCAAACACTGTGCTGTCTGATGGGAGACCACTGAGCCACAGTCAAGGCCAGGGTTTCCAGGTCCACTTCTGAGAGTATTGGACAAGTCTTTGTTGTCCTCAAACATATCACTGGAAAGAGCACCAGACAACCCTCTGGGAGAAGGAGGGGTTCTTTCACAGATGTCAGGACCAGTGAGCACAGTCCTGACAATAGACCCCCAGAGAGTTTCTGGTATGGATGAGAGGTCAATAGCATGTTCTCGGCTTCAGTCCAACCTCTATCACATTTGCCCAGAATACAGTAGTAAGGCAGGTCATGTCACATCACCCAGGCCTCACTCCCTCCCCTGCTGAAGGGGAGTGGTACACTTCCATGGGATCGCTCTGGAGATTAAGTGAGATCAACTGTACAAACCTGCCTGCACATAATAAGTGCTCACTAAATGTTAGCACCCACTATTATTTTTGTTGGTTTTGACCCAGAGTCTCGGCATACTTTAATACTCTGAAAGGACAAAATGTACAGAGGATCTTACAGGAGTCCTGCCCACACTGAGAGCACAGCAGCACCCTGCCCTTGATGCCTCCAGGGTCTGCCACTGCCACAGCTCCCACTCAGGCTTCCTCTCCCAGTAGACACCTGTACCCTTGTCTTCCGCCACCAGACGGAGCTGGAAAAGTTCTCCGGAAGTCCACTTATGTATCAAGCAAATGTCAGCTGAGGAAGGACTGACTCCTCCCAGGGGAAACGAAGCCCACCAGGGCTAGAGAAGGTCTTTTTCAGACACAGCATCAAACATTGGAAGTACTAGACTCTTAGCTGGAAGAGATCTCAAAGGAGATCGCTAATAATCCTCTCACTCAGGAACTGAGAGTTTCAGATGCAGGGAGCCCAAGGACTACACAAGGTCACACAGCTACTGAGTGACACCACTGTAGCTAAACACAAGTGTCCAGACTCCAGATCCAGGGCTCTTTCCTCCACACCTCACAGCTGCCCTATTCACACTAGGAAATGACAAAGCCCAGAAAATAAGACCCTGATGCCCCACCCTACTCCCGTTCCCCTACCCCCACTTTAAGTCAGGATACACTTTCTTCTCAGGTAGACCAAAAGGGTTGTTTCTGGATCTGCATTTTTCTCCACCACCTACCAAAAAATGAAAGAAAAATACATTATGGGTATACTTGACCATCCTTCTGCAATTGATTTCTCCCTTCCATGTCTCATCCAAGAATTGGTAGAATTAGCAGAGATATGCCAATTAGATAATGAAAACCAAGGTATTTTTCTTGGCAATTCCATAAGAATGAACATATAAACTACAAGCCGGAATCCATACAGTCTCACAACCCTAAATGCTCAGATTCTACCACACTGCTCAGCCCTGCACCTCCCATCCTGGGCTGACCAGGGCAGAGCCTCCTCTGAGTCAAACACATCATCCCATCTCTCCTTCTGGGCCACATCTTGGAATGCCAGGGACAGCTGCGAGGGTCCACGTGGCAGGCTCTGGCTTTGTCTCCTTGAGCATACACCCTCAGACCCTGTTGTGACTGGAGAAAGCCAGTCATCTGGCCTGTGCTCACTGCAGAGTAGTGTATGGGATGGGGATTCACAGTGAGTAGCTTGAACATTTGTTAGGAATGGAGGAGAAATCTCAAGCCAAAGACCTATCGGTATGTTCAACAAGGTAGGAAAAAAAAGCCCGTCTATAAAGTGAGAGGCTTGTCCCCAGTATGAATTGTCAAAGGAAATCTATGAAGCCCTTCTTCACTACTCCTCATGCATCATCAGGATAGTTCTGGAGAAAATCTGTGATAAGGGCTTCTTCAGAGAGAACTGTACTGAGTCACACACAGTTTCCTTAAGTGGAAGGGAAGGAGGAATCTGCCTCACACCCCAAACCCAGGGCACATAAAGCCACAACACCACCTTTGCAGCATAGGGGATATGGTAGTCTGGAATATGGAAACAGCTATAGGTGGACTTAACACACAATTAATAACTCATGAGGAGGCACTTGAACCTCTAGTTAAGATCAAACTGAGACCAGGGCATGCTCCTAAAGTGGCAGAGCCCAGGATATGGGTGGCCATGGGCTGAGTGCAGGCCATCCATGAGGTAGAGAGAACTGGCTTGGAGATGTTTAAATTATTCTCAAAAAAGACTGCCAAGGGTGGGTGAGGAGCCCTCTAATGGGGAGTCTGTGTGGAGTGGACCTCCTAACCCTGGAGGCTGAGGAAAAGCCAGAGAAAAGCACATCACTCTTGTCATGAGACATGCAAAGGAATGCTCTCTGTGGTGGCCCCTGAAGAATCTGCAAAGTCATTGCAGGAGGAGGGAAAGGGTCAGCTCCCAACAGCTGAAAAGCCCTGAAAGCCAGAAGTCATCTGACAGCAGTACCAATTGAACGACTGCTTCCTCGCTCCCCTTACCACGCCATCCTGAGTTGAGACCATGTTTGGCAACTTACATAGATATTACGACTCTTTGTAACTGCAAGTAATCAAAAAGTTTATAAAACTGCTAAGAGTTTGCCCTTTGAATAAGGCTGAAGGACATTGGGAGATAAACTTAATTGCCTCATATGATCATGCCCCTTGGGTCTAGTTTGTTCAAAATCCTGGCTACAAAGTTCACACAAGGAGTCATTTTTTTTTCTCCTGGAGGAAAAATCATAAATGCAAATAATCATGATCTTATCACCTTTCTCATGCACAGCAGTAAGAGCCTCTTTGGCTGTTATTTCCCTCCATGTTTTTCCTTCCTCCTGTCATACACCAAACTGAAAATCCCTCTTCTATCTTCCAGTCCCCATACCTTTCAGCATTCTTGCTCTCTTACACGTGCACCTTGACTTCACAGAAGACCCTATTGTCCAGTCAAGGCTTCCCACGCCACCCCAACCTCGGTGGCCCACCCTCCATTGAATTCCCACAGGTAACGGCCATGCTGCTGTCATAGCGTGGCTGCAGGGCTTCCCAGGTGTGCGGAACACTCTCAACAGGCTGCCGATGGGCATTCCCAGCAAAAACACCTGGCGAGGAAATGGATTTACGAAAACTGGGTTCAGTCGATTGCTCTGGGAAAACTCGAGCATCAAGAGAAATAATGATTATAAAGCATCAGAGCCCATGAAGTAAGATTAAAATCCACGAATCCAAATAAATGATCAATAAATGAACAAATGGAAGAGAAGAGAAAGCTATTCCTGACAGAAGAATATCAGGTGATAAATACGATTGGCCATCTTGTAATCAACACGACAATTAATCCAGTTAATCATTAGTGGGTTAAATTTAATGAACAAGGTATTTATATAATCTCAAAGTTTCTGTTTGCAGATGATTCATTACAAAGGTAAAAAGAGTTACTTGCAGCGAAGGAAACTAGTGGACCCCACGTTTGCCAAGAGATCAAAGTTCACATCACGATCATGCACTCCCTTAGAGAACGCACTGAGAAAGACACCATACTTGTGTGGCATTCCTGCCCCAAAAGCTGACTCAGAATCTAATTACAGGAAAGCATGAGACAAACCCAATCTGAAGAACATGGGAACAAATAACTGGCCTATTCTCTTCAGAAACAGCAATGTCATGAACGACAAAGGAAAACAGGTACTATTTCAAATTAAAGGACCAAAATAACTAACCGTAAGGCACGGCCCTGGATTCTGCCTGGGGGCAAAGAGTGGGAAAGAATGATGTTATTGGGAGAATAATAATTTTGCAAAAGATCCATAAGTAATGGTATTATATCAAAAATAAATTTTCTGCATTCTATAAGTGAAATCTCACTCTCTAGGAACATTCTTATTTTAAGAATTTGAAGTAAAGGGGCATGAATATGAAACCTTCTCTCAAATAATTCAGAAAAATTATACTTTATAATTTATACATATATTATCTAACATAAAATTGAGTGCATACTTATATACATCTGTACATCTTTGTACATATGCGTATGTTTGAAGAATAAAGCAACTATAATAAGAGGTTAGCAGCTTTTGAGTAAAGGGTAGTTCAAATTGCTTTATAGTCTTCTTGCAACTTTTCTGTAAATTTAAAACAATTTAAAAAATATAAGGTTTAAAACTATATTTCTTTTGTTCAGGATTTCTCAGAGCTTTTAATATCCCTCCATTCATTCCACCCACATTAATTGGGCATTTACTATGTACCAAGTACTATGCTGAGAGTTTTAAGAGTATCCAAGAAGACTATTTCATGAGACTAGTTTCCTATAAAATGCATTTGGAATACATTACTTCACCTGTCCCTGGGTTCTTGAATGGCAAATGCCTGGTCTCAGACATGGTATTTTTCCAGTACTTGTCCTGTATTCGTGTCTTGGAAGGAGCTTGATAAATGTTGGCCACATGAATGAGTGAATGAGTGAAAGTCAACAGGAGGCTCTTTCTAGCCTACATATGGTTCCTGTGGAGTCGCTCCTAGATACCTCCAGCTGCACCCTAACTGCTGAATCCTCTTGGACTTAGGCGCCAACATCTCCACTAAACAGAGTGATTACTCAGCGACCACCCAAAAGGACTATTGTTACAATAATAAAATCCTTAGGGGCTCTTTTCCTCTGACTCTGACTCTAGACCAGAAGATCTAAGATATGTAGTCACCCAGGCCGGTCCTCCCCCAGAAGGTCCTCTGGGTGTTTGATGTTTTGCATCTAGCACCCTCTCTAGACCTCAGAGTCCTGGACAGAACAAGCCGTGTAAGAGGCTCACATTGAAAAACAAGTCACCAGGCCAGGCGTGGTGGTGCATACCTATAATTCCAGCAACTGGAGAGGCTGGGGCAGGAGGATCCATAAGCTCAAAGTCAGCCTCACCAACTTAGCAAGGCCCCAAACTTAGCGAGACCCTGTCTCAAAATAAAAAATAAAAAGGGCTGGGGATGTGGTTCAGAGGTTAAGTGCTCTGGGATTCAATCTCCAGTACCAAAAAAAAAAGGGGGGGGGTTCACCAAGTTTGGACAGCTTCTTTGGTAACTACTTTGCACAAGATCCTATAACGAAAGGGCTGAAACATCACAAGAATGAAAGCAGAACAAGCTTACTCATTGCTGCTTTATGAGACCAGGGTCCCTCACTTGGCTGTGTTTACAGCACCACAGTCACGTCTTTACTCTCTGCACTGTGACTCCATCTTTCCAGTATTTCTCAAGAGGCCCCATCTTCATAAATTACAGATATGAACATTCATCCCAGAATCTGGCAGTTAGTAGAAGCTTCCAGAGAGATACTAGGGTGTGATATAATGATGCCCTCTAAAAATTTAAGATTCCTTTCCTAAACTGAAAATAAAGTTCAAGGGAAAACAATCTTTCACCAAGTCAGTTTACTTTGAAATGTTCCCATCTAGATCCAGAACATAACAGCAAGCCATCCCTGAAGAAGACCAGGACCTTATGCTATCACACGCAAATGGATGGCTTACTAAAGAAGACCTTAGAGTAAGGCATAGCTTTGGAAGTCTCTGGATCCAGCCACTCACTGTAAAAATCACTTATAAGGGGCTGGGGTTGTGGCTCAGTGGTAGAGCACTTGCCTCACACGTGAAAGGCACTGGGTTCGATCCTCAGCACCACATAAGAATAAATAATCAAAATCAAGGTGTTCTGTCCATCTACAACTAGAAATAGTTTTTAAAATCACTTATAAAAATTCCAGAGAAGATGTCTTTGTGTAAGAACCTCTCCAGGAAGCCAATTCCAAACAATCGTTTCTTACATCTCCATGAAGTAATTGCTGAAGGTAAAGAAGTTTAAGCAGTTGGATGCAAAAGGCTTACTACCACACCTTGGGAGTTTTGCCATACCTCTTGGTTTGGCACAAGATGTCACTCCTGAAAAGGAAGCATCTCAGACAGCTCTGAACCCCAGCACCTCTGATGGCACCACTCGATCAATAGTCTTTGTAGCACTGATGTTATGTTGGCTGATGAAATTCTCTTGCTAGCCACCTAAATACATCCTGACAGGGTAAGTCCTGGAATCCTGTGAAGCACATTTTAGTTCTTAAAAATTACCTCAAAAGTCTCTCAGCTTTTCAATTCAATGGGAAAAAAAATGTCAATATAGCGAGACAAATAAAAGTGCCCTTCTTTGGGGACCCCTTGGGAGCTTTCATCGTTCACAAAACACGGCCAGTTACAAAGCACAACTGTGGCTACTCTTTTGTGACCTTTTCCATTCTCAAGCGTGGAGCTGAAACACTGCACTGGACCAAGCTGATTCACTCCCTCCACGTCCACACTTGCTATTTCACTCTTCAGGTTTACAACACAGACGCAGCCCTGCCAAGCAAGCACCGTGTCTCACGACTCGCTGGAGTGGACAGGTCACAGAGCTCAGGGAGCCAGATTCAAACCCTGTGAACCTCTTGGTGCAGGGAGGGCAAACAGAGCTGGAGACGATGGAATGGCTTCACTCCCTCTCTGCCTGCACCTGCAGTAAAGCTGCAAAGATTCTCGTTCTTGCAATGCCCAAGGACTCGCACCCATGCCACCTTTCTTAGGTCCCAGTGCACTAATGCAGTTAATCTAAGCAGGTAAGATTTTTGCAATACTTATTGGTAGAGCCAGGGAAGGGGGAGTGTCTCCTTTATGAAATCATGTTTGCCACAAGGTGTCAGTATACATCCCCACACCGTCAATCAGAACAGCTGTTCCATATGTGTATATATAAACACACAATATATCAGAATCAAAAGCTTTGCACATTACATATCCTGATGCTAACTTAAAAAACATATTCCTGATCCTTCTCCAAGTAAAGAAAGCCACAAAATCATTAAGATATATCTAATTCAACACAGAAATATAGGTGTGGCTGGTCACTTCCTGACTCACCTAGAACTTTGTCCCTTTTCCTGGCTCTGCCAGTGTGTCTCCTATTGCAGAGTAAGCACTCAGAATCCTCCACCCCTCACTCTTTTGTGCCTGGAGTGTCCGGCCTGTGACCTAGCCCTGAGAGGGTTTCTTGTCTCAATGTTAACAAAACACAACAACACTTTTGAAGAGAGGAAAACAAGAAGGACCAGGCTAGAGAGAAGCAGAATACACCTCTTCTAGAGGACACGCATCCCCTCCCAAGGAGCAGGGACTCCAAGCCTAAGGTCAACTCCGGCTTACCTTTCTGCCATTCACAAAGAAAACCAACTCATCTGCTGTCATTGTCACCGGTGGAGTCCCTAAACTCCAGGTACCACACTCCTAAGAGACACTAGCAGTTACCACTGCTCTGCAACTTGAAAGCTACGCCTCCTATAAAATGAAACCAAGTTGGCCAATGGGAGAGAACCAGCTTGCAGCTTCAGGGCACAGACAGTTCTTGGCAAAAGCCACTGGTTTACATAATCCAGGAAAATGCAAACAACCCTACATACCAGTCACACTCTACAGCTGTGGAGAAGAGCACAGAGGAAGAGTGCTTCCACAGAGTGGCTGGGCCTGTGTCTTGGTACAGGTGACCATGGACTTGGGGCACTGCCCTCATGTTTTGTTGCAAGACAGACCGAAGGGAAGGACCATTGTCAGTGACTGCTGTCCGGACGAAGCTGATTCCCTCCCTCCACGTCCACACTTGCATTTCACCCCTCCAGGTTTACAACAGCACAGACGCAGCCCTGCCAAGCAAGTGCTGTTGTCTCACGACCTGGTGGAGTGGACAGGTCACAGAGCTCAGGGAGCCAGATTCAAAGCCCAGCATTGGACATCAGACTTCTCTTAGCTGCTCCAGAATTCAGCAGTCATCCCATAAAGGGGCACGAGAACAACATACAGGGCAGAAGGCTGAGGGACAAATGCTATTTCAGAAGTGCCTTACAAATTTGCAAAGAAATATTTAACCCTGTTGCAAAGGTATTGCCATCAGCACAACCAAACAATCTGACAGCAAACCGTTTTTGAGATTTTTCTTTTATTTGAATTTTCTCCCAGGAAAATGCCCTTGATAAGCTGTCAGAGTAACTCATAAAAATGTTTCAAAATACCAAGTAAATTAAAATGCACAGACCACCTAGGCATAGACCACATTAACAGAGCTGAAAAGCCTCCCCCCATCAGTACCATTAACTCCTGGTGTAAGCATACGTGGGCACGGTCCACCCAAGCAGAACCAATGGGCTCTCTGTAGTCCAGCACCCTCCAGCTCCCCTCTCGGACACCAGCTTCCCCTCTGGTCTTCCTCAGTCTTCTAACAACCTGCAGAGGCACTCAGCCAACCTTCCTGAAGGAGGATGTCCCCTACACCCTTGGCAGGCTAGGTGCAGGGAATAAAGGAACGCCGGGCAGATGTGTTTGGTGCAGCAACAGCTTAGAGACCCTGAAGACTGCCCAGAAAACCACGAGTCAGCACCCTACCCTTCTCCCAGCGCAGCTGTTATTCAACCAGGAGAGGGGATTTTTACTCATATCATCATCAAACATTCCAATTTGCCCTGGACTATCCCAATTTTAGCCCCAAATCTCTGGCAAATCCCTCAGTCCAGAGCAAACTGGGATGGCTGGTCAGTACAAGACACTGGTTGTTAACCAGGGTGGTTTCCCACCTTGGGAGCCATTTGGCAATGTCTGGGATAGGTCTCAATGTCAGGACTGGGGAGAGTTGCTACTGCATGGAGGACAGAAGCCAGCAGTGTGACTAAACATCCTACAAAGCACAGAGCAGCCCCCTCCCCCATCCACCCACAGCAAAGAATAATCCAACCTAAAATGTCAATCAAGCCAAGGTTGAAAAATCCTACATTAAAAGGAAGAAGGAAGAAGGTGGGAAGGGGGATCACGACTGGGCCTGGAGAATGTTCTACACTGAGTCATTTCTCCCTAACCCTCATGCCTCTGTGATTGACAGGCTTTTTATCTAGTCACTGATCCACCCAGCTTCACAAACCTGCCCCTTCTGCTTAGACAGTTCCTAACCAACTTCTCAGAGAACCCTGAGGTTCAAACAAAGGGCTGAGGAAAGAGCTCAGGCTTCCCAGTCAGGTAGATGGGCTCAAATAGTACCTCCACTACCTTTATGCAAACTTTGCAAACATTATTACTCTCTTGACCTTGATATTCTCATTTACAAAATGGGGTTACTGTGCCTACTTTGTAAGAACCAACTCCTCTAAAAATTAAATGATACCTAGGTTAAATGTTCCTTATAACATCCCGGTTTGCTTCTCCCCCACTCAGAGCATCTCTACCCCTTTTTTTGAATTTGGAGGCCAAATTCCTCTCTGCTTCTACAGAGCATTGAAAGGTAAAAAAAGAAGTTTTCAGTAAGGGTTTGTGTTGTCATTCAGAAAGTCCACTTCTATTTTTACGGGTAGGAACCTCGGGTACTGAAGTCTGACAAAAACTTTGAAAACCATGATTACTTCTTACTCGGCAAAATATTTGCAACCGTTTTCTTCCTCTGTGACCTTGTTTTTTTAAATTGACGAATAAAAAGTGTATGTATTGATTAGATACAACACGTTTTGAAATATGCACACATTGTGGAATACTCGATTGAACTAATTAACATGCTCATTACCTCACGTATGTGTCATATTTTTGTACTAAGAACACAGACAATCTCAGCAATTTTCAAAATATAATACATTATCAAATATAGTTATTATGTCATACAGTGAACCTCTTGAATTTATTTTTCCTTTCTAACTGAAATTTTGTATTTTTCCCCACTATCTCCTCGATGTCTTCCAATCCTTAGAAAGCTATTCTATTCTCTGCTTCTATTAATATGACTTTTTAATATTCCACATATAAGTGAGATTGTGTGCTACTTGTTTTTCTCTACCTGACTTATTTCACTTAACAGAATTTCCTTTAGGTACAGCCATGTTGTTGCATATAACAGGGTTTCCATTTTAGGGGTGTATAGGATTCCATCATATGTGTTTACCAAGTTTTCTTTATGCATTTCATTCATTGATGGAAACTTAATTTGATTTCATGTCATGGCTCTACTGAAAATAATGCTGTGATAAACATGATAGTATAGACATCTCTTCAACCTACTGATTGTGTTTCCTTTGGAAGTATACCCAGTAGCGTGGTTGCTAGGAGACCCCTCCTACTATTTAACTTAATGGATGTTTAACTTAATTTACATTTCCACCAACATTGGGTGAGGGTTCCCTTTTCTCCACATCCCTTTCCCTATACTTATTTTTTTTCTTTCCTTCATTCCTTCCTTCATTTGATAATAGCCATTCTAACAGTTATGAGCGGATAACTCTCTGATATTTTAATTTGCACTTCTCTGATATTGAGCATTTTTTCATATACCCATTGGCCATTTGTATGTCTTCTTTTAAAACTTCTATTCAGGTTGTTTGACCATTTTTTAATTGGGTTATTAATTTTCTTGCTACTCAGTTATATGAGTTCCACATATGTTTTGGATTCTAACCCTAACCAGATATATGGTTTGCAGATATTTTCTCCAATTCCATAAGTTTCCCCTTCACTCTGCTGTTTGCCTGCCTCTGCTGTTTAACTTATTGTAGTCTCAGTGGTTGGGTTTGCTTTTGTTGCTTGTACTTTAAAGATCATATAAAGAAAAAAAAACATTGCCAGACAAACATTATGGAATTTTCCACCTGTTTTCTTTAAGTAGCTTTGCTTCTTATGTTTTGGTTTTATGTTTAATCTTTAATCTATTTTGAGTTGCTTTATATGTGGTGTGAGATGGGGTTCAGTTTCACTCTTCTGCTTGTGGTTGTCCAATTTTCCCAATACCATCCTCTAAAGAGACTCTTCTTTCCTCATTGTACTTTCTTGGCATATTTCTCAAAAATCAATTTTCCATAAATGTGTGAGTTTATTTCTAGGCTCTGCTTTGTTCCATTGGGTTAAGTCTCTCTCTCTCCCTCTCTGAATCAATCTCTCTCTCTCTCTCTCTCTCTCTCTCTCTCTCTCTCTCTCTCTCTCTCTCTCTCTCTTTAATGCCAGTCCCATGCTGTTTTGATTACTATAACAAAACAGTATAATTTCAAATCAAGTAGTGGATGCCACCAGTTTGCAGGGTGGCGGGGGGGGGGTGGGGGGGCTCTCATGATTAATTTGTCTATTTGGGATCTTGTATGATTTCTCATGAATTTTAGAATTGTTATTCTACTTCTATGAAAAAATGCCACAGAAGTTCATAACCCACTTGAATCAAAGTGTGAAATATGATATATCAAGAACTATGTAATGTTTTGAACAACCAACAATAAAAATTTTTTAAAAAAGAGCCAGACCATCATAAAGAACATTTTAGGGTTTATACTATTACAGTCCCAAATCCATCCAAGAGCTTCACTAACCAGAGTTGTGGGATATGTGTACAAGAACAGGCAAACTGGTTGAACAGTTTAGTACAGAACAAACACAACCACATATAGACATGATTTAGGACAGACAGCACCACAGAACACCCAAGAATGCATAGTGTTTTTATAGATGGGGCAGAGGCAAATGAAAAGCCAATTTAGAGCCATGGGATAGTGACTTGCCCCTGCATCACTGCCCTTTCAACACGATGTTTAACATTTTCCCATCAAGAGATGAGCTTATTTCCCAACCCCCTGAGTTTGGGCAGAAATATAACTTCTTTTGAAATCAGTGAATGTGATGCAAACAAAGGTTTAAAAAGAGATTGTAAATGGGAGTTTCTTGCTATAGCACTTGAAACCCCACAATTGTCATGAGTGAGTCCTAGTTGACCTGATAAATGTAAAGGACAATGAGGAAGAGCCCAACATTCAACTCTCTAATCTCTGGGGAAATTACAATGAAACTGTCTTCCACCAACCATCCAAACTATGACTTGACTTATAGCAAATGCTGAAAGAGATAGAGTGAGAGAGCCTAGACTGAAATAATTTCTCATCCAATCCTAAGAATCTTGAACCAAAAGGCTCGAACATTTTTTCTCATACGTGGAAGACTGAAGAAAAGAAAAGAGATCTCATGAAAATGGAAGGAGATGAAGGGGATCAGGAGAAAGAAGATAAAAGGGAAAGAATGTTCTAGAAAATAAAATTGATCAAATTATATTATGTGTACTATGAATATGTCACAATGTATCCCACTATTATGTATAATTATGATACACCAATAAAAATTAAAAATAGGGTTTTTTTTAAAAAAAAGAAAAAATGCCACAGAAATATTGGTAGGGATTGATTGGATTTGTAAATTGCTTTGGCCAATATGCACATTTTGACAATATTATTTCTTCCAATCCATG